TGATGATAATGACAAAAAAAAATTGCTTAGTCTGATTCATTGTCTTGCAGGAGAGCCTTACTCTCAGTGTGTTGCCAAGAGCTTACTACTGGTATCCTTCATCATACTAGCTGTATTCCTCAGTAGCCCCTGGATCAGAATACACAAAGATTAGAATTCAACTACCGTCTGACTTCTTCCAGATCGTCAGCTTCTACGTCAGGGATTTGTTGTCCTCCTGTGTGCCTCTCTGTAAAATCTTAATAAATGAATTGTTTTATTTTTATAGAAAATTTTATTAAGTGCTCCACACATTATATTCACACATGTAGCTATCCAAACATTCAAAGCAATTCAGAGTGGGTGTTCTCACTGATGCACCAGAGTGAGCAAAATGCATGAGAGAGTCAACTGTGTCAATATGTGTAATTAGGAACTTTAGTTCATCACAGATTATGAAAGTCATAGGAGTTTTGGTTCAAATGTTATTCCTACCACAGAGAGTCAGTCTTTGAATTTTTTATCTATTTTTGTTGAAATGATAAGTTTCTACTATTCCTAAGAAAGGCTTAGAAATGCATTGAAGTCTGTTGACTTAGAAAATATTCACAACCTCAAAGTTGAGAGTTGTTTTATTTGGTGGGAATTTTTAGGACTTCAAGCCGGGAAGACACTGTCTCAAATGACCCTGAGAGAATTGCTCTGAGGAGGTGAAGAGAGGAGTCACGTTATATAGAAGTTTTGCAACAAAGGGCAAGTAGCTGGAACATCAAAAAAGATTGTTGTTATTTAAAACCAGATATCCCAAGTTAAGGGATTTTGCACTTTTCTATGTATGGGAAGATGCAGGAGTCTGGGCCCACTGAAATCATTCCTTTCAAATGTACTTCAGCTATATAGAGCCACTCTCCGGTGTTTCTAGACTTCCCAGGTGACTCAGTGGTAAAGAATCTACCTGCTGATGCAGGAGACACGGAGACATGGTTCGATCCCTGGGTCGGGAAGATCCCCTGGAATAGGAAGTGGCAAACCACTCCAGTATTCTTGCCTGGAAAGTTTCATGGATAGAGGAGCCTGGTGGGCTACAGTTTGCAACCCACTGGGCTGCAAAGAGTTAGACATGACTGAGCATGCATGCACATTCTGTGTTTTTGCATCCTGAGGTTGCCTTCCTCAGGGCTTACTGTAGGGAGTAGCCGTAGTCTGATGACTGCTACATCGCAGGTATTCTACGCCTTTCTGAATTCCCTTGGGGCTCACCATCTCACATTGGAGGGCTGCAACTGCTGATGACTGTGATATCCTTCTCCAGGAGATCTTTGATATGGCAGGAAATACTCCATTTCTGAAGTCTTAAAAAGTGTGTATAATATGAAAATCCAAAAAAATGGATGAGGCAAGATGTAGGGGTTAGGGGAAAGGACCTAACATAGGAGGTAAGTAAAAACCAGGAGTGAACACAAGCCCATGAAAAAATATGCCAACAGCCTTGCATTTAGTAAAGGTAGGTCCGTAATATAGTCTTCAGTTTGCAAAAAATCCAAAATATGATTAGCTACAGGAATCATGGGGACCATTGATTAAAAAATAATCTGGCTTTCAATGAAGTACAGTTTTTCCTAGTTGAGTCTTGAGAGAAATTCCTCCTGGGGCCTCTTACAAAGGGACGGACAGCACGATGCAGCACAGGGAGGGGGGGCAGAGCGGCCGTCTCCAGCCACAGACATGTGGCCACGTTGCCACCTGCAGTGAGGTTTCTTGGTGGGCTAGATAAATTTAGTCATTGTTTCAGATGGACTTTGTGCACTGTGGGTAAATGGAAATTTCTAAATCTATTCTCTTCTGTCTCTGAGTTCTGAGCATCTCTTGACATCCTGGTGCTGTGTACAATGTGTTGTTCCATCTTTTTTTTTTTTTTTTTTTGTCCACACCATGTGGCTTGTGGGGTTCTGTTTCCACAACCAGGGATCAAACACATGCACTATGAACTACTGTTTTGTAATACAATGAGAAATGGAATATTTTGTGCCATATCAGTAAACAAAGGATGCCACGGTGATCAGTGATTGCAGCTACCATGACTGGTGAGCTGGTGAGCCCTAAGGGAACTCAGGAAGGAAAGAATACCTGCCACCTAGAAGCCATCAGATTGTAGCCACTCCTATGGTGGAGCCCTGAGGAATCTCAGAATATGATATGAAATAGAGTGTTTCCTGCCATATCAGTAAATAAAGATGGCGCTGTTAATAGTGATTGCAGCCCTAACAGGTGTGAGCTGTTGAGCCCTAAGGGAATTCAGGAAGAAGGGGAATACCTGCTATCTAACAGCCAAAACTGTAGCCACTCCCTGTGGTGAGGACCAAGGAAAGGAAGCTCAGGATGTGAAAACAGGATACTGGCCCTAGATAGGTGAGATGCACATGAAAGGAATGGTTTCAGTAAGCCCAGACTCTTGCATCTTGCCATACATAGAAAATCACTAAATTCCTCAACTTCAGATATCTGTTTTTTCTTAATTAACAATAATCTTTTGATGTTCAGACTACCTTCCCCTTGTTGCAAACTTCTATATAACCTGACTCCTTCCCCTGCTCCCCAGAACCGTTCTCTCAGGGTTACTTGAGATGCTATCTTCTGGGCTTGAAGTCCTAAAAATTCGCACCAAATAAAACATAACTCTCCACTTTTAGGTTGTGAATACTTTTATTAAAGTCCACAACATCATGGAAACACTGGATTTCTCCCCACTCTGCTGCACTCTTTTTTTTTTTTTGCACTCTTTCTTAGATGTGGATCTCTGTGGGTTGAGGTGGTTACACCCGCTAGGAATTGAAAATTGTCTTTTATTAAAGCAAAGGAAATACCCAACTGATTGGTTCTTTGCAGTGAGTGATTCAGAGTCTTTCCCTGGCAGTTAGCATAACTAGCTCTGTGAAGTTAGTAAAATTTCCAAATGACAGGGAATTTAGCCTGATTTTGTGGGCTTTGTTAGGGTGATTTTGCACTTGAGAAAGGGAAAACTCACTTTGACGGTAGAAGGGGATTAGGGTCAGAGCAAACCTAGGTCTCCTGCATTGTAGGCAGATTCTTTACAATTTGAGCTACAGGGAAGACCTTACTATATAGTTTATATGTTCATATATGTATTTGGGAAATATCTATTGAACGACTACTGCCCTGAACCCTGGAGATACCAAGGCAATGTCCCTTGTCTGGTAGACTTGTTGACTGAAACAAAACAAAAAAACTTCAACATAACTCTGAAAGTTGAGAGTTATGTTTTGTTTGGGGATCTTACTGAAGGCTATAGCTCAGGAACACAGCCTCTCAGATTGCTGTGAAACTGAAAAAGGTAAGGGAGAAGCCAAAATGTACAAGAGTTTTTGTCGAAGGGAAAAAACCATATAGTTGAACATCAAAAGATTACTGTAATCACAAAGAACAGCCATTACAAGTTAATGATTTTTAGTGCTTTTGTTGACAAGTCCAAGCTTGCTCTGCTTGCCTCATGACAGGCCAATGAATTGGAGACAGGTGTTGAAGCAAGGAATATGATTTTTTGGAAAGCTGGCTGATGGAGATGGCAGACTAATGTCTCAAAATAACCACCTTGTCCAGGTCTGGATGCCAGGTTCTTTTATAGCAGACCAGAGAGAGAAGCCATGAGGAACTAAAGTCAAAAGGCAGAATAGAGAAGGAAAAGCAATGAGGAAGTAAAGTAAAAAGGGCCATCAAGCTTGCAGTACATGATGGGGAACAGCCAGCCTCAGGAAGGGAAGTGTTAATCTCTTTTTTTCTCATAGCCATTCACAGGTGCGCAGGGTCAGAGTCTCTCTTTGAGCTGAACAAAGGCACTTTAGTTTAATAGGCAGAGGGGTAGCGTCCTCTGAGGCAGGCCATTTTGTATGATTATAATAGCAGCAATGAAAAGCAAGTCAAAGAAACAGTTGAAACATGAAGTAAGAATTGGTTCTTCTCTGCAACACTTTTCCATGCGTGGGAAGGTGGAAGAGTCTGGGCTCACGTAAATTATTCCTTAGATATGCATTTTATCTACTTAGGACCCGTAACTTGTTTTTTTCCTTTCTGAATCCCCTCAGGATGAACCCTTGGGGGTGGCTGCAGTGGCTAATGGCTTGATGGCTGTGACGTCCTTTGCTTACTGAAATGGCAGGCGATTTTTTTTTTGTCCAGGAAGTTTTACATTCTACTGGGGGAAAACTGGCAATAAACATAGACAAGATAATGTCAGACAGTGGTAGGTGCTATGGAGAAAATAAAACAGGACTGCCTAGGGTGGGGTGGTAGGGACACTTCTGCTAGTGGTCAGGACCAGCTTCTTAGAAGCAGTGACATTTGAGCTGAGACTTGTAGGAGCTAATCTTGAGAAGGTCCTGGAGAAGGGTGTTCTAGGCAGAGAGAAGGGAAGAGTCAGCAAGTTCAAGCGCGCCAACCTGGAAAAAGAAAGAAGGCAGATGGGTGGGGTGGAGACCAGGACTTGGGGAAGGCAGAGGTTAGACCCAGTGGTGTGTCTGCTGGCCCTGGTAAGAAGTTTGAACTTTATTCGGAACGCAGTGGGAGAAGTCAGAAAATTTTAAGTAAGCTCACATCCGGTTTTCGTGTTTGTCAGAGATCTCTGTAGCTGCTGTGTGCAGGATCCTAGCAAGAGCAGTCAGGCACCAGACCCTGCTTTGTCCGCACAGGGGCCAGGACCCCAGAGAAAAACACCACACGGGGTGTAATTCCGTTGATAAGAAATGCCCTAATAGGCAGATCTATGGAGAAAAGGTTGTTCAGTGGTTGTCGGGAGCTAGGGGATAAGAAGGGGACTGACTGGAACTGAGCAGGAGAAATCTTTATGGGGTTGATGGAAACGTTCTCAAATTGATCCCGACGCTGAACTCTGAAACTTTACTAAAAATCACAAAATTGTAATACCCTAGTCGGGTGAACTTTCTGGCACGTAAAATCAACAAAACTCCTATAAAGCTGTGAACGGCAGAGAGAGGGGCAGCTTTTGATCAGGCTGGGGCTGAGTTCCTGAATCCCCCGCATTGACGCGGGGTTAGCACCAGTTGGCCCCGCAGCCGCCATCGGCCGCAACTCCTGGCGCCATTGGTCAGCCGGCGGGGGTCGTGCGCGCGCGCGCGCGAGCGTGGGGGCGGAACCGGAACCGGCTGTAGCCAAGGGGGCGGGGCCTCGAGGGCGGCGTTGGCGGCGGCCGGAGTGGCGGCCGTGGTGGCGGGACTGGGGACAGCTGGTATAACCCGGAGCTCCATGGTTCGGAGCCGCGGCCAGGCCGCAGGAGAAGCTCGATCCCCGGGTCACCCCGGCTGACCGTGCGGGCCCGCGCAGCCCAGAGCCGCCGGCGCCCGTCGGGTCCCGCGGGGGGGCGCGGGCCGGTCCGCCATGGGGTCCCTGTTCCGGAGCGAGACCATGTGCCTGGCGCAGCTCTTCCTGCAGTCCGGCACGGCCTACGAGTGCCTCAGCATCCTGGGCGAGAAGGGCCTGGTCGAGTTCCGAGACGTGAGTGTCGCCCGGGAGATGCGGGCTGTCGCTCCCTGCCAGGCTCCCTCATTGCACCTTTAGCTCGGGCCTCCTTCCCCGCGGGCTCCTGGGCAGGGGCGCCCATTTCCCTGAAGGGGAACCTGAGGTCCACTTTCCGGCCAGAGCTTCCGCAGAGCAGGGCCGGAGCCCAGGGTCGCCGGATGTCTGGTCCGCGGCCGCCCTAGCTGGGTTAGTTAGGAACGCTTGTCTTCATCAGCTCGGGTCGTGCCGTCTGATGCTTCGGAGCCAGGCACTGGGCTACTTAAGCGGGAGTACAAATCTGTTAAGGCCTCTTGAAGCCCTTCTGGAACTTATGGGGACGGGGAGGAGGGGAGGAATATTAAGTAAACGGGAATACGTTTGCTGTACCGACAATAAAAGGGGATGGTGAGATGGTGCCTCCGGTAAGGGGCGGACAGGGAACCCTCTCTGAGGAGATGTCTTTGGGCCGAGCCAGCCCTGGGGAGTTCTGGGGGACACGGACCCAGGTGGAGGGAACAGGAAGAGCCAGGAGCCTGAATTAGGAATGAACTTGGTGTAAGCTCCCGGGCGGCGGGATTTTTTGTCGTTCACTGTTACCTGGTGATGTATTGATACATAACCACTACCTCCTACGGAATAGGACTAGCATCAGAATTTGTTGAAAGGGAGCTGTCTCCCCAACAAGTAGTAATAAACACTTGTTTTATATATCTGTTTATTTGTTTATTGTTTGGCTCCACCATGGACTGTCAACCCCTGGCGGTAAGAGTCTTGTTCATTCCTGATTCCTAAGTACAGCCCCTGACTTTGTGGGCATTAATAGGCATTTGTGGAATGAATGAACAAGCTTGAATCAAGTGCTTGCTGAGTTTGGTGCTGGAGACTCAGGGATGAGCAGGATGGACAAAGTCCCTGTGTTTTTGTTGCTCGCAATCTGGGAGGAGTTAACAAACACACTCTGATTATGAGCTGTAATAAGTGCCATGCAGGAAAAAACAGCATGAAAAGGAGATTATGAAGCAGGACTTGGCTGATTGTAAAGTCACTTGAGTGAACATTTTATTTCTTGGGGCCCACCTTTCATCGCTTGTGGTTTCCCTTCATCTTTCTGAGGGCGCTTTAGTTTCAAGAGGGAACTCTTCCACCCAATATTTGATATCAGCGATTCTGGGGTTGGTCCCCCAAGGCAATTGCAAGGTCAGGGAGAAACTCCTGAATGACAGGTGAGGCTGCAGAGAGGGCCCAACTTGTTCTGGTTTTTGGAGCCACTTGGGCTTCAGCACATGATGCCCACTCTCCTGGCACGGGCTGCGCTGAACTGTGAATAAGGAGCCCCCGAGAGATTCAGGAAAGAGTTGTTTGAGAAACAGGCTCCCTTCTTTATCATAGATTTTTTCCATCCTGTTAGTCCTCAGGCCAAGAGACTTCAGTCAAGCTGAAGTCTTAGAGGTTTGAACAAATGCTGTAATTACTGTGAAGATTCAAGTTTTGTTGAATGCCATTACATTAGGTAGTAGAGGACGCTTGAGATTCTTCTAAACTGAAAATCAGGGAAAGAAAAAGAAAGTGCTGTTCCTCTTTTTCACAAGTGCAATAAAGTGGAAATGCTCACATTGTGTGATGCTCGGTGTTCAGAGCTCAGGGGTGTATGTGTGTCTGTCTTCGGGATGGCTGTCAAGCAGCTAGAGCAGAGAGCTCCATCATACCTGACTCTTTATGTTCCCTTTGGAGTTTCTTACTGACTTTGTGCTCACCGGGTGGGATCACTGACGCCAGTCTTTTCTGGCTTGTGCAGGCGGGAGCGTTTCCCCCTTTTCTTTTAGCGATCCTTCTAAGGGTGGAGAGGCAGGACCAGAGTTTCTGCAATGATAGCCAAAGAGAAGACCTGGAAACGAAAGGTGATTCAACTCACCAGTAGGACTGAGCGAAGGGCAAGGCTGTCCCACTTTTCTAAGGGTCTGGAGTCTGAGGACGGTGTTTACCTTTTGTCCGTTAGGATCGCAGGTGTGGATACTGGTGAAAACAGCACCAGGCAACCTCGGCTGGTTTTTCTAGTTTAATTATTAGTCTTAAAATGAATCTGTGTTAAAATGTACTTCATAGCATTCGCTTGGGATTAAGGTGCTATTGCCACCTAAAAAGAAAATAGAAGCTAAACTTCACACAAGAAACCACACAATAGAAAAAAACCAGTTAACATGCTGTGTAAGCAGGCGATGGCGGATGTCATATCCAGTCACGTGTGCGTTGTTGCCACAGAAGTTTGCCTCCTCATAAAGATCCTACTATTTGTGGAACCCTGGTGTCCGATTTGAGTTCACTAGTGTTTGATATTGAAGAAAAAGACATCAAAACTGAGAAGCCGTGTCATTCATAGACAGCTTTTGATGGGCGGCTTCCTGTGCTCATTCTTAGTTCTAACCAGACAGAGGGTATCTGAATCACTAGAAACTTGAAAGTGGTTACTAGTTTGGATTAGTGCGACTTCCAGAAATGAGTGCAAATGTGACAAACAGAAGTGAGATTAGAATTTTTGTCTTTCTTCTGGTTAGTTCTTTCTAGAAGTTTGGAAAACTGAACAAGAACTGAGGCTTTACGGGAGATATTCTCAGGTTGTTCAAGCAGCTTCATGCCACGCTGTTTCTAATTCTCCATTTTGAGAGTGCCCCATGCCAGATGGGCTTCCATTGTGACTCAGCTGGTGAAGAATCTGCCTGCAATGTGGGAGACCTGGGTTCGATCTCTGGATTTGAAAGATCCCCTGGATAAGGGAAAGGCTACCCACTCCAGTATTCTGACCTGGAGAATTCCACGGACTGTAAAGTCCATGGGGTGGCAAAGAGTCGTACACGACTGAGCAACTTTCACTTTCCACCCCATATGGCGCTGCGTGGAGTAAACTTAAAATTCTTGCCCCATGTGCCTTTCAACATAAATAATTACTGTAATTTAAAAAGTTGTGATGGTAATATATATCCACTGTGGGAAATTTGGAAAACCTAGGATAATAACTTCCATGATCCCACTAGCTAGAAATAAACACTTTACCATTTTGGTTAACATTGGCCTAACATTGTTTTTCTAATAATATTTTTTAATGTACATTTATAGATATTTTTATATAGTTGGAGCCACACTAATAATGTGTGCATGTGTGTATGCTCAGTCGTATCTGACTCTTTGTCACCCCATGGACTGTAGCCTGCCAGGCTCCTCTGTCCATGGGATTTCCCAAGGAAGAATACTGGAGTGGGTTGCCATTTTCTCCTCCAAGGGATCTTCCCAACGCAGATATCAGACCTGCGTCTCCTGCGTCGGCAGGTGGATTCTTCACCACTGTATCACCTGGGAAGCCCCACACTGATAATATGTTTAATCTCCTTCTTCCCACACACAAGTTGTGATTAATTTCCTCATTTTATTAAATATTCTTTTACAATAATTTTTGTTGTTTTAAGCTTTGTTTGCTAAGATATTAAGTAGAGGGAAGAGTATATGGAAACAGTGAATTCCTATATACCCATAATATAAACCCATGGAGGGAATTCCCTAGTGGTCCGGTGGTTAGGACTTGGTGCTTTTACTGCCAGGACCCCAGAAAGCCATATGGTGCAAAAAAGAAAAAAAAAGAAAACTCCCATCAGACAAGATCATTTTGAAGCAAATCCCAGATATATTATTTCATTCATAAATATTTCACTAAGTACCTCTAAAAGATAAGGACACTAAAAAGATACCATTATCATACCTAAAGTTTTTAATAATAATTTCTTAATATAATCAAATACCTGGTCACTTAAAACATCATTTTTAATAAATGTATAGTAATCACTTGTATTACTGACCCATAATTTTTACACAACTTTATTGATGTGTATCATAAAGTTCACCTGCTGCAAGTGTACAATTTGTTGGTTTTTAGAAAATTTTCTGAGTACTGTGTCCATTGCCACAAGCCAGTTGTAGAACACGAGATCATCCCAGTAAGGTCACTTATGCTCATTTACAGGTCACCCCCCTCCTCACTCTAAGACCCAGGCAATCACTCATCTACTTTCTGCCTCTAGGTTTTCCTTTCCTGGACATTTCGTAGAAATGGAGTTGCACAATATGTGGTCCTTTGTGTCATCTTTCATTTGCATCATGTTTCTGGGTATCTCCTCCCTGATATTGATGTATTGTTTTTTTCCCCCTCTTTTTACTGCTAGTATTCCACAGTGTGGATGTAGACTATGATTTCCTTAGCCAGTTTTCCATGGTCAATAGTTTTTTCTCTATCCTTGAAATTGATCCTCTTCTGCATACATTTTTGTCTGTATCCATAGTTTTTTCTTTTAGGTTGAATTTCTTTGTGGAATCGTTCTGGACTAGAGGATATTTTTCAGGCTTTTTAAAAAAATCTGTTTTTATTTTTTTGGCTGAACTGAGTCTTTACTGTGGTGCCTGCACTCTCTAGTTGTGGCGAGTGGGCTTACGGTTCCCCCACCAGGGATCAAACCTGTGTCCCTTGCATTGGAAGGTAGATTCTTAACCACTGGTTCACCAGGGAAGTCCCCAGACTTTTTTGGATAACAGTTGCCAAATTGCTTTCCAGAAAAGATGTGGCCATTTATACTCCCACTCAGTAGTATACAAGGATATGCTTTTCCCTTAAACCTTTGGCAGTCGTACTTTATTTATAAAATCGAAGTTGTTTTTGAATTTTAGAAAATTCAGAGCAAAATTTTCATCCTTCTTCTCAGCTCAACCAGAATGTAAGTTCTTTCCAAAGAAAATTTGTTGGTGAGGTGAAGCGATGTGAAGAACTGGAGCGAATATTGGGTAAGTTTTTTTAAACAAATTATTATTTTATATAATTGAATATATAAGCAAACCTTGTTCACTTTAGAAAAATTAGAAAATCTAGACAAGTAGAAAAGAAAAAAGAAGTCATCTGTATTCTTACCATTCATGTAATCACTGTTATGTAGGTTTATATTTTCGTTCCACACTTTTTACTGTTCATCTATAAAAGTAAGGATTTACATATATAATGATCAGGTTATTTTGTTATTAGCTTTGTTTCTCATTGATGGTACTTTAACATCTTTTTATGTCAATAAACAGATTGACTCATCATTGTTTTTAGTGGCAGCATAGTATTTTATGGTATTAATATACCACGAGTTATTTAGCCAATCCTTTGTAGTTTGTTATAATTTAGAAACAATGTACGTGTTAATACTTAAATTAGATCAGAGCACAAGGGAGGTAGGAAGTGGTAGATAACTTGGTTAATAATTTCCTTTTTCTCAGGGATTATTTCCTCTGCATACATCAGTGTTCTCTGACTGTTAACCATTAAAACTCAGCAGCTCAAGGCTACTTCCTTTATCTGTAAAACTTTTAACATCTTAGCCTAAAATAAAATGTTATTGTTGTCCAGTTGCTCAGTCATGTCCGACTCTTTGTGACTCCATGGACTGCAGCATTCCAGCTGCAGCATTCCAGCCTTCCTTGTCCTTCACCATCTCCTGAAGCTTGCTCAAACTCATGTCCATTGAGTTGGTGATTCTGTTCAACCATCTCATCCTCTGTTGTCCCCTTCTCCTCCTGCCTTCAATCAGGGTCTTTTCTAATGAATCTGCTCTTCACCTCAGGTAGCCAAAGTATTGGAGCTTCATCTTCAGCATCAATCCTTCCAATGAATATTCAAGACTGATTTCCTTTAGGACTGCCTGGTTGGATCTCCTTGCAGTTCAAGGGACTCTCAAGAGTCTTCTCCAACACCACAGTTCAAAAGCATCAGTTGTTTGGCACTCAGCCTTCTTTATGGTCCAGTTCTCACATCCATACATGACTACTGGAAAAACCACAGCTTTGACTTTTGTTGACCTTTGTTGACAAAGTAATGAATCTGCTTTTTAATATGCTCTCTGGGTTTGTCATAGCTTTTCTTTCAAGGAGCAAGCATCTTTTAAAATAAAATAGGGGGGACCGGGATGGGGAATACATGTAAAAAAAAAAAAAAAAAAAAAAGAACTATTTTCAACAATGGAAAAAAAAATAAATAAACATATTGTAAAAAAAAAAAAAAATAAAAAATAAAATAAAATAAAATAGTCTTTATCAGTTCAAACCTTGAAGTTCTGCTTGAAATACAGAGAGGGGAACAATTCCAAAGTCACTGTCAGAAAAACCTGAGGATGAGAGAGTTGAGGAGGGAAGATAAGATGATTTTTGGAGTGATTTCTAATAGTTAATTGTTGTGGATTTTATATTTTTTAACTGGGATTTTTAAGATCAGAAGAAACCTTTGGGTCATCAGCAGCCTAGTCCTCTGCATATTGTTTGAGATCCCAGTCGTTTGTGTGGATCGTGAAAGACAGGGCAATATCACACTTCCTTCTTTGCCACGTGTATGAGTCATTGATCAGGTTGTATATTTGGAATGAGTTTCCAAAGACAGGGCAGGATTGACAGGACATTAGACATGCCCAGGGCTTCCTGTAGCTTACACTGTTTCAGAAAGAGTCCAGACTTAAAAAGAAAATGAACCATCAAGTAAATTTAGGTATGTGCTGTGCTATTCTGTGCTTAGTCGTGTCCTACTCTTTTCGACCCCATGGACTGTAGCCCGCCAGGCTCTTCTGTCCATGGGGATTTTCCAGGCAAGAATATTGGAGTGGGTTGCCATGCCCTCCTCCAGGGGATCTTCCCAACCCAGGGATCGAACCCAGGTCTCCCACATTGCAGGCGGATTTTTTACCATCTGAGCCACCAGGGGAGCCCAAGAATACTGGAGTGGGTAGCCTGTCCCTTCTCCAGGAGATCTTCTCCACCCAAGAATCGAACCGGGGTCTCCTGCATTGCAGGCAGATTCTTTACCAGCTGAGCTATTGGGGAAGCCCAAATTTAGGTAAAATAGGTTAAAAAAATTCACATCCATTTCCAGAAGCTCTTAAACCCATTGCTTCCTTTGCTCTTATTGGTAAGACATTCTTCTCTTCCTGCCTGTTTTCCTTCCTTCTCTTTCTCCCTCTCTCCCTCCTTTCCTCCCTTTCCTTCCTTCCTTCCTAGTAAAATAACTAGTAAGACTTCTCCAAAACATTGTATCTGGTAACGATTTTTTACCAGGTATTATGACTTTTATCCTATGGAAAAAGATGCTTCAAGGAATTGAAAATGTAAACTAAAGAATTTAAGTTATTTTTGGCTGTCTGAGTATTAGTTTCATGAATCTAGTGTAAGTGGTCCTAAGTCAAACCATCACAGCTAACTGGTGACTTAGGAGAGCCGGGCTCTTTGCCCTGAGGTTTCTTTTTTTGCTGAGAAAGGTTGTTGTGTTTTTTCCTGATGGATGTGTATTTCCTCCTAATGGCATCTGCAGGGAGTTCACACTGACATTTCTGGTGGCTTATTCCTGCACTTCCAAGTGTGTTTTTAACTTTCTGCTTCATCTACAGGTGGCAGAGGCAAGTGTGACTCCAGAGTTCTTTAACTAGAGTTTTAGTAATGAAGGACAGGAAATTTCAGAAAATATGTATATAGGTTACTGTCACTCTATGCTGATCTCTCCAGGCAGAATTATTTTACAGATGTTCAGAAGCAAGGTGACAAAAGTCATCTATCAGTCAATTGGGACAATCCAGACTTTTGTGCCTTTAGACAGTTTTTACATGACCTGGGAAAAGTGGGGACATGAAATGTTCTCACTGAAACATCCTGGACTAAGATTTTCAGTCTAATTTGTTTAACTTTTCCACAGCATACTTGGTGCAGGAAATCAATAGAGCTGATATTCCCCTCCCTGAGGGGGAGACCAGTCCTCCGGCACCACCTCTGAAACAAGTGCTGGAAATGCAGGTAACTTGGTTCTGAAGGAGGGTTTTAGGTCACTAACCTCAGATCGGGCTTATTCACTTACTTTATATTGTCTAGTGCTTTTCTGCCTTTCTTCTCAAGACTGTGGAATGAAAGTCAAAGAACCATATTATGGTTAACTCTCAGTAACAGATTATCTGTGATACATTTTAACTAGAATTCAGTTTTTTTCTTCCTTAGTATAAGACAGGTGGTATTGAACAGAGATTGACAAGAATTAGATCATGAGATCTGGTCATGTAACCTCTGGGCTTCTGCAGGCCTTAGCATTCTGCTGCTACTGCAGGTCATCGAGGCTTCAGACCTGTGCCCTACACATCTCCCCCGATTCACCCTGACCCTTTCCCCTCGAATTATCAGAAGCTAGTGTGAAAGTGGTTCCCCGTGGTTAGCCAGCAGGATTCCTTCTCTTGGAGTTCAGTGTCGGGGATACACTGTGAGAGCATGGGGTCATTCATTCATTAGCATCCCCCTCCACCCCCATGAATTATCTGTTGAGATTTTGGTCTCCTCATCTGAGTGTTTATCACACTCGGAAATAGACTAGAGCTTTTACAGCCCTTCTAAAACAATTAGTACTGTATAACTAGGACCATTCCATTGCTGACTGTGCTATTTGTTTTACTGGGAGGAAGTCGTTTAGCAGTTGCATATGAACGGACTCTGGAGACACCTATACAGTCCAGTGAGAGCAGTCAGCTGGTTTGACCTGTTTGGTGTGTTGGTTATGATGTAATTACAAGTATGGTGATTGCTAGCTGTTTATCATTTCAATAAAGCAGAGCACAAGTAATAAATATAGTGTGTCAGGGGATTTGTTTGAATACAAGTTTTCATTGAGTCAGTAGGTTTTACAGATTTCTGCTTCTACTGTTTTAATCCTTAAAGTATCGGTAAGGATGCTTGGTACACACTAATTGTTAAATATTTGTTCTCAAGTATTTTTATGCCTAATTAATTGAATAAGTGCAACTGCATAGAAACTCAGGCTAGAGATTAGGAATAGGTATGTTTGGGAAAGAGTGTTTTTCTGTGTTACAAGTAAAAGGAAATGTAGTCTTAAAAGAGGAAGACTCTTTGGTGTATGGTAATGCGTAAGCAGGTGAAGGGAAACCAGAAGAAATGATAACCTGAGATTAGCGTGCAGAGTCATCATGGCACCCAAGTGCTTGCCATCATGGGTACCTGAGTTAATATGAAACAGTAAATGATGAACTTTGAAAAGCTGTGCATGTTTTCATAACCCTATCAAACTCTCATATACATTCTGGCTTTTTGAAACCTCTCCTGGTTCTGGGGTGCTGTGAAAAGAGTATTAGAGCCAGACTTGGAAGTAACCCAACTGTCGTTTCATTTCAGGAGCAGTTGCAGAAGCTGGAGGTTGAGCTGCGAGAGGTCACTAAGAACAAGGAGAAGCTGAGGAAGAACCTGCTGGAGCTGATTGAGTACACCCACATGCTGCGAGTGACCAAGACCTTCGTCAGGCGCACTGTGGAGGTACTGGTGATGCTTGGGAGGAGGTGCCTTTCCTCCTCTTCCTTTTGGCCGCGTGGCATGCAAGATTTTAGTTCCCTGACTAGGGATTGAACCCAGGCCCCCTGCATTGGGAGAGTGGAGTCTTAACCACTGGACTACTGAGGACGTCCCAGGAGCGCGTTTCTTTTATAAAAATCTCATTCCCATCAGGTTTTTGGGTTTTGTTATCAACTCCTATAGAGATACTGCTTTTTAAAAGAAATACATCTTTAAAAAATGAAAGAGATACATTTTGATCTTCCTTTTATTTTTCAGCTGGATTCCCATATTGGTTTTAACCATTTGCTGTTGTTTACTTTGCTAAGTCATGTCCCACTCTTTGTGACCCCGTGAACTGTAGCCCGCCAGGCTCCTCTGTCCATGGGATTTTCCAGACAAGAATAATGGAGTGAATTACCATTTCCTCCTCCAGGGGATCTTCCTGATACAAGGATCGAACCAGAGTCTTCTGCTTGGCAGGTGGATTCTTTACCATTGAGCCACTTGGGAAGCCCTGGTTTTAACCATAGCTACTTCCTGTTTGTAAAATGCTTTAGTTTGCAGTTGAAAAAAATACTTTTTATAATCATGAGAAAAAACTGAACAGTGGAAATCAAACTCCAAAATTTCAGTTTTATTCTTTCCTTCTTCTCAAATTCCTAAAAGTAATGGAAGTTAAAAAAAAGAAAACCTACATAGGAATAATGAACAGCCTATGCAGCAGTACTGTACTCAGCTGAGCATCAGAGAGGGGCAAAGTATATTCCTTCTGAACTTCGTTTCACTTCCTATGGCAGGTGTGACCTCTGATACAGTTACTCTGTGTTAGGTTAAGGCGATGACGTACATTATAACCAGACTTTTATTATATGTAGATGTCATCAAGTAGTTTACAAATAAGGAATGGGGACGTTATCCTCTTTCTTTATCAGAACCGACTCACATGTCTGAGTTACCTTGGCACCCAGATCTGAGTAGTTCTTTTGCCCTGCAGACTTGTTTGGAAACAGGACTTAGGAATTAAAGTGTCACCTTTGGTGAAACACTGTTGGTTTCATGTCTCCTTGTAGTTCGAACCCACTTACGAGGAATTCCCTCCCTTGGAGAACGAGTCTTTGTTGGACCACAGCTGTATGCAGAGGCTGGGAGCGAAACTGGGGTAGGTGACAACTGGCCTGGCGCGCTTCACACTGCCCTTCTTGTCAGTGGGAGAAGAGAGTAGATGAGCAGCCGCCATCTGCAAGCCTGTGTGGAATGAAAGAAAGTGAATATTTGTGATAAGAAAACACTGTACTGTAGTGTTTGTTGAGTTGACTCACTCAGCTGTATTGACTTTTTAAGTAGATATGATGGGAATTACTTCTTTTGGTATCATGAACTGGAAAGAAGGAACATTTGTGCTGTTTATCATTACTCCATAAGCTTCAGATAGCTTATGTCACTGAAGCATCAAGCCCTGTTTTATTTGGTAGGGACATAGGGGCTAAACTGAATTGGGTAATTTATTAATCATATTTTAAGGGTCTCTCTCTACTATTTATTCTCTCTGTTTACTTGAACTAATGGTAACGTGTTTCCTCTTGTGTTTTATAATCTCTTTTTACTATGAACTTTGGTTCCTTTGCTCCTTATCTGTAGGCATTCAGTGATGTTTAGTGTCAGGCTGTATTCCTTCAGAAAGAACTTATTTTACATATGTCAGGTACTTGGGAGCACTCCATCTATTTGGAATCATTTTACATTAATTTCTCTGCTTGAGTTTATTAATTTTTTTTTTCTGTTTGTTTACTCACTCTGCATGTAATATGAATTTCATCCACAAACTTGAGTGCATTCTAACTTGTGGTTGTAAATCATCAAGGAATATTCTCCCCCTTCTCCCCAAAATTGAACGGAAATAAACAAGTTTGCATGTAGGCTCCTTTGCAAGATGGATTTTTTTCTAGTCCACCTGTTCACTTAAGGTGTAGTCCTTTGTTGAGGGGGGTGAGAGTCCCAACTTTGAGGTGATTGTGGGGCTTTAGTTCCAACTCCTCACCTGATATAGACTCAGGGCTCCTCTACCATGCTGGCCTTGAAATTCAAGGCCTTGAGATACTGGTTGTGTATAGATACTGGCTCCATATAATACATCAGGACATAACTATGAGGTCCTGTTTTTTTGGATTCCAAGAATTTCTCTAATTTATGAGCTTAGCTTTACATTGAAGAGGATGTTTCAAAAATATTTAATCCAGCATTTCAGATATTGTTCAGTTGGAGACCTTTCAGGGTATCTTCCCCATTTTGCCAGAAATGAATGTCTTCATCATCCTTTTACTGCAGTTTGATAATATTCATTGCTTTTACTTGACCACAGCCTTTATTGTCTCATAGATTTATATCTGGCCTAATTAACCAAGGAAAAGTTGAAGCATTTGAAAAAATGTTGTGGAGGGTCTGCAAAGGGTACACCATTGTGACCTATGCAGAGCTGGATGAGCCCCTGGAAGACCCTGAAACAGTGAGTAAATGTCACCATCTCCTTTCAGCAGTGACAGACTTGCCCCAGAGCTGGACGTACAGTCCAGAGTGAAGCATTTGAGTGAGTTGTTCACCAGATTCCTTCCTTTCCTTGGATACGTTTGGGGGGAGTTCCTGAGAATAGGGACTTTCTCCTGTTCTACTGAAGTACAATAGGCGCATTAACGTGGATACATCACTACTTTCTGAGCTTCAGATCCAGTTTAGGTTTCAGCAGTTGTCCCAATACTGTCTTTTATGGCAAAGGATCTAGTTAAGAATCACACTTTGGATTTGTTTGTCAGGTCTGTTTTTTTCTTGGTTGCCCTGCAAGGCTTGCAGAATGTTATTGAATAGATTCCCAACCAGAGATTGAACCCTGGGCCCTCAGCAGTGAAGTGCAGAGTCCTAACCGCTGGACCGCCAGGGAGTGCCCACTTGTCAGGTTTTTTCGGTCTCCTTCATTCTGGGATAATTTCTCAGTCTTGCCGTGACCTTCATCGTCTTGGCATTTAAAAGTTATTCTAGACCAGTGTTTTGGGTAGAGTGCCCCCCTGTCCGGGTTTGTCTGATGTTTTCTCATGATGAGATTCAGGTTATGTGTCTCTGTCAAGAATGTCCTAGCAGTGATGTTGCCTTCTCACTGCTTCCCATCAGGGGCACATGGTTCCTTTGTCCCATTACTTGTGATGTTCATTTTGATCTCTTGATCAAGGTAGTGACTCCTAGTCGTCTCCGCTGTGAATTTGTAGTTCCTTTTCCTTTGTATTTAATACATGTTTTTGAGGAAGTGCTTTGAAACTCTGTAAGTACTCAGTTCCTCATCAGATTTTCAGTCTGTTAATTTATTTCCTGTTTTATTCAATGAGTTATACTCTGTTACTTTGATTTTTTATTTTGATATTCAAATTCTCTAGATTTGGCCATCTGGAGCCTATTCAGCTGGCTTTTATATTCTTTTTACATGTTCCCATCATCTTTTGAATACTTCCTTGCTTTCCTGATAACAATATATCCAGATTCATTTTGTAATTTCCCTCATGCAGCTCTGGAATTAGCCATTTCTCTGAGGAGCTTAGTTCTCTTTAGTGGAGAATGGTAATTAGAAGCCACACTGTGGTTTCTGGGTGTGCCCATTGTGAATGAGGTGATGCTGTTCCCAGCTCTGTCAGTGGACAAAGGGTGCACACATGCCAGTGACTCACCCACTCACAACTTTATTTCTGTACCTGTGTGTGTAAGTGAAAACCGTGACTTTACATCCAATTCTACTCCAGTACCATAGGGTCATCCTGATTTGTAGAGTTCATTTGTAGGGTTCATTTCTAGATTTGTAACTCCTTTCTTGAATGGTGAGAAACTCAACTCCCATTGTTTATATACTTATTTGATCAGACCCCTTGTATGTGACCAGTCTGCCCACTGATCTCTTATCTCTGCTTCCCTCACCTTCTCTCCATACGGAGCTTCAAGTTCCCCAGCCCCTTGACTGAGTGGCCCCCTGGTGTGGGTGGCCTGCTCACCCTTTCTGGGTGGCTCCCCTGCAGCATGTTTCCTCACAGAGCTTGGGCTCTGATTTTGCCCTTCCCCTCCCCTCTCCAGGTCCATCCCCGAACGCACATCTAAGGCTTCAGGAATGAATTATTCAGGGAGGGAAGCAGAGGAGCCAGAGAGGAAAGAGCCATAATTACCTTTTAAAATAGCTGTGATTAATTTTTTTTAGGACTTCAACCATAAAAATAACTATTTTGCTCTAAATGAAGATGAATTGATCTACTAAAGGTAGAAAAGGAACTTGGGCTTCTTAATTTTGAGAGAAGTGTTCATGTGTTCTTTCCTAGATTTGCCTTAGGAATTTTGGCTGTAATGTTGTTGTTCAGTTGTGTCTGACTCTTTGCGACCCCATGGACTATAATCTACCAGTCTCCTCTGTCCATGGGATTCTCCAGGCAAGAATACTGGAGTGGTTTGCTCTGTTCTTCTCCAGGGGATCTTCCTGACCCAGGGATTGAACTCAGGTCTCCTATATTCCAGGCAGATTCTCAAGGGAATAGTTTTGATGCATAAAGGAGTTTGGCTGTGAAATGATTTTTATAAGGTTTAGCCTGAGTAAATCACACATGTTGGAAAATCTAATCAGTCAAGCTGTTCATTAACCATACACTTAGAATATTTTTTGTGCCTCCTGAAATTGCCAGTAGCAATATGTTAATTATCCATCACCTGTGATCTCTGAGACCTCTCCATGTAAAGCTGAAGATTAAAACTGTTCTAAAGTAGCATTTACATATCTCTGAGTTTTTTCATTTTTGAGAACATATCATTCTCACGCAAAACATAAAAATTTTTTAAAAATATAATTTCTAAGCTCTTTGGTGCTGAGTTTATACCAGTATGTTAAAGGGCATTAAATGTCTGTGAAGAAATACAGAGACATGGATAGATTTGGATAGGGATGTGTATATATATGTATATGTATATTTTTTTTAATTTTTAAAAAAAATTTATGTCTGTATTTTTGATTATATTTGGCTGCGCTGTGCTGCGTCTCTGTTGTTTTGCATGGGCTTTCTGGTTGTGGCAAGTGGTCTACTCTCTAGCTGTGGTGCGTGGGCTTCTCATTGTGGTGGCTTCCTTTGTTGCAGAGCATGGTCTCTAGATCTTGAGCTTCAGTGCTTGTGGCTTAGTTGCCCTGTGGCACTTGGGATCTTCTGAACCAGGGATCGAACCTGCTTCCCCTGTATTGGCAGGTAGATTCTTAACCACTGGACCACCAGGGAAACTCTTAATTTTCTTAAAAACTTTTTTTATTTCTAATTTTTTGTTGAGGTATAATTGACAGAAATGTGTATCTTAAAACCACAATTCCTCCCTTTCCCACGATTATGAAGGAAATGTGAGGTCGTTCTAGAAAACTGAGAATAACATAGAAAATACAGAGATGAAAATCAGTCACCTGTAATCCCCTGCTCAGAGAGGATTACTGCTTACCTTTCAGTGTGCATTCTATCAGTCCTTGTTCTGGGGAGGATGTGGGATTTGGTTTGGTAACTTTTACTCAGATTCTAGGATTTGTTTGTTTAGTTCAATTCAGTCACTCAGACTTGTCCGACTCTTTGCGACCCCATGAACCGCAGCACACCAGGCCTCCCTGTCCATCACCAACTCCCGGAGTTTACTCAAACTCATGTCCATCGAGTCGGTGATGCCATCCAACCATCTCATCCTCTGTCGTCCCCTTCTCCTCCTGCCTTCAATCTTTCCCAGCATCAGGGTCTTTTCAAATGAGTCAGCTCTTCGCATCAGGTGGCCAAAGTATTAGAGTTTCAGCTTCAGCATCAGTCCTCCCAATGAACACCCAGGACTGATCTCCTTTAGGATGGACTGGTTGGATCTCCTTGCAGTCCAAGGGACTCTCAAGAGTCTTCTCCAATGTTTGTAGTGTCATGTTTAGTATCTTTTGGGTCCAGTGTCTGACCTCTGAAAGTCCTTACAAACCCGAGTGTATTTCTAGCCATTTTCTCCTTTGTCAGTATCATTTTTAGATGCTGACCAGTCTCTCTGTCAAAGCTAGACTCAGGCACGTGGTTTCAGATCTGCGTTTTTTATATTGTATATATCCCTGTTCCATATTATGTCTTAGGTGGTTGTATTCCCTGACACAGTACTATTTTTAAAATCATTAAGGAATATTTGAAGTAAAATTCACTATAAATGCCATTTCTTTTTTCCTCCAGTGTAGTTTCTTTAGTAATTTATCCTGAAATAATTTCAGTTTACAGAAAAGTTGCCAGAAGAGAATGAAGACTTCTCCTGTTCCTTCCCAACTGTTACCTTTGCTGCATGTATTCTGTCACCCACTTTCTGCATATCTATTCCCATTTTCTTTAAAAAAAAAAAAAGTATCTATTTTGGCTGTGCTGGGTCCTCTTGCTGCACACAAGCTTACTCTGGTTGTAGTGAGTGGGGCTGCTCTTTAGTTGTGGTGTGCAGGCTTCTCATTGTGGTGGTTTCTCTTGTTGCAGAGCACATGCTCTAGGCAAACGGGCTTAGTTGCTCCTTGGCATGTGGGATCTTCCCGGGCCAGGGATTGAACCCGTGTCCCCTGCATTGGTAGGTTGATTCTTACCCACCGTACCACCTGGGAAGTCCCATCCCCGTTTTCATTAGTCTGCTTGCAGACCTTCTGAGAGTAAGCTATGGACAAGTGTCCATTGCCCATCACAGGAATGCTGTTTTGGACTCTAACCCACCAGGCTGTTCTGTCCATGGGATTCTCCAGGCGAGAATCCTGGTATGGGTTTTCATGCCCTCCAGGGGATCCTTCCGAACCAGGGATGGAACCATGTCTCTTATGTCTCCTGCATTGGCAGGCAGGTTCTTTACCACTAGCACCACCTGGGGAAGCCCAATAACCACGATACAACCCTGCAAATGAGAAAAACCAACATGAATGCAACACTTCGGTGCAATACAAACATGCCCTTCAGACTCCTCACAGTTTGCCTTGTTTCCTTGCTGGTCCGCTGCCTAGGGGAGACTGTGACTTGCATTCGGGACAGACATCGTGTTCTGTGGGACGACCCTCCTTTGGGGTCCATGCAGTGCTTCCTCATGACTAGGCTCTGAGCACACGTTGCTGATGGGAACATGGATGCTTTGGTCTGCTCAGCACCTCCCACCAGGGGGCATGTGATGTTGGCCTGGTCATGTTGGTGTCCTCCAGGTTTCTCCACTTTCATGTCACCCTTCTGCCCTATTTAACTGTTCAGTGGTTGCTGAGGAGGTATTCCAAGGTTATTGGTCACTGGGGCCTCATTCCTCACCAGACTTCTACCCACCAGCCTCAGCCTCCTTGGTGACTCTCTGGAACTTGTCACCTCTGTCACAGTTGCCAGCATTTTCCGCCTGGGCTTACTGGTTACCATCCTGCAGAAGGCAATGCTTGCCCTGCCCTCACGGTCACTTACTCATTCATCCATGAACTCAGACCTTCCTCTTTATTTGATGACTTGTATTCTCTTAACGGTCCTTTTTTGTTTCGATGCCCAAATTGTCTGATTTGGCCACTGGGAGTCGCTTTGTGCATGTTTCTCTGGCCTTTGGCATTTTCTGAGCATTCAGCAAGCAGTCCCTTACTTCCTGGCAACATAGGATTGTCCTGGTCTCTGCCTGGAGTCAGCCGTTCCTTCAAGGACCCCTGGCACCTTTTAGTAGAGGGCGGAATTTAGAAACCTGGATCTGGGTGTTCAGGTTCTCGTTGTGTACTGGAGTGCTGTGGTTCCTGGGCCCGTGCAGCAGTCAGACAAACACACAGCGGTAACCTCCTCTGCAGCTGCCTGTGCACATTGATTGTAGACCATTTGTTCACGGACTTTGCTGGCGGTCCAGTGGTTAAGACTCCGTGCTGCCAGTGCAGGATGTGTGGGTTTGATCCCTGGTCAGGAACCAAAAGCCCTTATGCCCTGTGGTGCAGCCAAAAGAGAAAAAAAAAACAACAACCCCAGACCCCCCATTTGTGCAGACTATAACCTACAGTTCTAGATGTCTCTTTTTCTTTTTCACTCTCTTCTGACAGTGAAAAATCTGGCTCCCCTTACTGACAATATCGTTCACGAATTGTGTTATTTAGGTATTTGTTCAGTGTACCCAGCCTCCCAACCACATCAGCCGTCTCCTCCTCCCGCCGCTTCCCCGCCCTCCCCCATCCCCGGCCGCCCTCTGTCCTTACCTTCAGGATCTCACTGCCTTTGCTTTGCCTGAAGGTCCCCAGCCTGTCTCCTGTCCCACGTTGTTTCAAGGCTTTTAAAGCCATCTTTTAAATACCATCTCCCAAATGGATATACTGGCTTGGACCTCTGCCCCAAATACCAGACTTCTGTTGAACTGGCTCCTCCATAACTTTGAAGGTCCCTGAAGACATTTCCACAGGATGCTTAAAACTGAACTCCCAATCTTCCCCTGCCTCCCAGACCTGATCTTCCAGCCTGCCCGTCTCAGTCAGCGACAGCTCAGCTCTCGTCCTTCCAGCGTCCAGAATGATTCCTGTGAAACTAGTCAAACTCCCCCCACCTCACCCCCAACCTAAAACCCTCCCTCGGCTTCCTGTCTCACTCAGCCAAAAGCTCAAAGCCTCACAGTGTCCCATCCGGTCACCCTTCTGGCCCTCGGTCTGGCCATTTCTCTTCAGGCAGGCTGGCCTTTTCACTTCGCCTCATCTTGCCTCTGTCTGAGTTTTGTCTTTGGCTTGAGAGGCTTTTCCCCAGGATCCATGTGGCTTGCTCCTCGCCCCTTCACTCCTCTAGACCCAGATGTCACCTTCTCCCGGAGGCCTTCCCTGATTGCCTGATGTAAAATTGCAGTCCCCAACCCGCTTCTCCCCGTCACCCCCCTCCCCCCAGCTTTATTTTCCTTTTTATAATTATTTTTATTTCTGGCTGCACTGGGTCTTTGCAGCTGCATGGACTTTCTTCTAGTTATGGAGAGTGAGGGCTACTTTCTGGCTGTGGTCCTTGGGCTTCTCGTTGTGGTGGCTTCTCTTGTCGCAGAGCGCGGGCTCCAGGTTCACAGGCTCAGTCGTTTTGGGTTTGGGGCTCTAGAGTACAAGCCGAGTAGTTGTGATGCATGGACTTAGTCATTGTATGGCATGCGGGCTGCACCAGGGATTGACTCCGTGTCTCCTGCATTGGCAGGCAGATTCTTTACCGCTGAGCCACCAGGGAAGCCCAGCATTATTTTATCACCCTTATCTCCGCTTGGCATATTATGTTCTTTCTTTGTGTCTCTCACTGCCAACCTGGATACAAGCTTCCCTCCCCTCCTAGGTCAGGAACTTTTGTCTTTTTTGTTCACTGCTGTATTCACGGCACCGGGAACAGTGCCTGGCAAATAGGCCAAAAACCTATTCATTGTTAGTTGTAGAATACTTGTAAATACTGTCAGTTCTCATTTGTATAGTTATGTTGTACAGTCTCCATGAGAACCGAGCCATTACTCCTAGGAGAAGCATAGGGTTGGGTTCCTTTGAGCCTCTGGTTACAGGGTTTTGTCAACTAATTAGTCCATAACCTTGTTTTATATGTGTTCTGTTTAAAGACACCTTGCTTAATTTATACTGTTGATTCATTAGCATTGAACTCACTGCCAACCCACGCTAGCATGCGTGTCTGAGCAACTCGTATGGTACACATTTAAGGGCAACTCACAGCCTTCCTGTGCTCAGAAACTCTAGGCAGCACTTCAGCAACACCCCTGCGGACCGTTTCCAATACCAAATGACCAACGAAAGGCACAGAAATGTGGAAAACTGGGAGCTGGATAGACCACAGGAAGGACATGTGTTCACAGTGTGAACTATGGTCACCTTGTTTGACCTCAACTGGAATATGCACATTGGGGATCTCAAAACTTTTGTCACTTTGCATGTCTGCAAATGAGTGAAAAAATGCTGCAAGTTTTGGTTTTGGGGGTTATATCTGGAGTGAATTTGCAGTTGTGGAATCTGCAGATAATGAGGATGGACAGTGTTTGTTGAATGAATGAACACACCAATGAACTAACTCTGCCAGAGTATGAGCTGCCAGGGTTTTCAGAGTTCTACCTGCAAAAATAACAGTCATCTTTATCCTTTGTAGGGAGAAGTCATAAAATGGTATGTGTTTTTGATATCCTTTTGGGGAGAACAGATTGGCCACAAGGTTAAGAAGATATGTGATTGGTAAGAAAAAGAAATATTTTATTTCATTTATTTCTTCATTCTCAATAACCTCTAGTTTTCCTTAAATAGGTCTCTGAAGAGTAACGCAGAGGCTGCTGGGCTTTGTTACGAGATTTCTTTGCTGTAATGCCATGTTTTCAAACATTTAATTTGTCATCTGCCTTGCCAGTGTAATACTTAAGATAATTTAAAAGTAAACACCATGATTTTAACATTCCCAGATTTGATTTCTTTCTTGGGAATTAAGGCTCAAGATCATTCGGGGAAGGAATCCAGGTTTACTATTTGCTGCCTTTCTGTTGTTTTGAGCCACGAATCAGCATATCTATCCTCCTGGAGCTTATCCTTTGTCCAGCCCTCCACAGTTAGCTTCTTTGCCCTGGGGAAGGGGGCCTGGCAAGTGGTGGAGAGGGTGGGCTCAGAGCGGCCTAATGAGGTGGTATAAGTAAAAGACTCTCACATGAACCTTCAAGATACACAGAGCAGTGTCCCAGCAAGAATCAGTCTGTGACTTAGTTTTGTCACTAGTGGGGAAATAAACAAGGCCACACCAAAACTCAAAAGAATGGCCTTTTGTTTTCTTATACTCTGGGAGATTTTAGCTGGCCTTGCTTCTTGCTGGGATAAGGGTGGGACTTGGTTGTTTCCTTTGGATCAGTGTTCACCAGAGTTTGATACACAGTCACTGGTGTTATGAAAAGTAATTTTAGGTGTTACATGGGCAAGCTTGTTCTTACTCTAATAGATGTATATTTATTTTATGTAGATGACAAAAACTATAGCCAACAGATAATCCCCTGACTTCACAAATACCATTGCTTAAGATAAAGCTAGAGTAAGAATATAGTTTTGATGGTGAGAGCGTAGAGAGGAATAGGAAGCATGGCATTCAAATACTGAGGCAGCGTGGGAGATCTTGCAGCTTGGGAGGTGTGGCCCTGCCTCCTCTCTGACCTGGTGTCACATGGCCCCAGGGGATGTTTACTGTGAAAGTGAAAGTGAAGTCACTCAGTTGCTCTTTGCGACCCCATGGACTGGAGCCTACCAGGCTCCTCCATCCATGGAATTTTCCAGGCAAGAGTACTGGAGTGGGTGGCCATTTCCTTCTCCAGGGGACCTTCCCGACCCAGGGATTGAACCCAGGTCTCCCGTTTTGCAAGCAGACACTTCTGCAGTCTGAGTCACCGTAGCACATGTCAAGGGCAAGTGCTAGGAATCCAGAACTTTTTGCTACCTTGATTTTCTTTTTTTATTTCAAGTTTCTTGTTAAAAAAAAAAAAAGGATTATAATTAGTTGCTTTACAACATTGTATTACTTTCAGCTGTAAACCCTTTGAGTCAGCCATGTGTCTACGTATATCTCCTCCCTCTGGAACCTTCCTCCCACTGCCTCATCTCACCCCTCTGGGTCATCTGAGCTGAGCGAGATCCCTGAGTTACACAGCAGCTTCCCACGAGCTAGCTATTTTACACAGGGTAGTGTATATATGTCAGTGCTACTGTCTCAGTTTGTCCCATCCTCTCCTTCCCTGCTGTGTCCACAAGCCGTCTCTACATCTGTGTCTCTCATTTCTCTCTCCTTTTTTTTAAGGTAATTATTGTATGTTCTTTGATTTATGTTATAGACTCCCAGCTTAAGGCTCATGGTGAATTTAGAACGTTGAAATTGGGAATGAGCTTTTAGGAATCATTGAGAGCAGAAATGGAATTTGGAGCCAAGAGAGAGTTGGCCAAATCTGTGGAATCCAGTGGATATTTGTCCAGTGTCCGTCTGCAGGGCCTTAGCACGGCTGGGAGCTTGCGTCTGCACCTTTTTCTCCCAGAGGGCTGCTTTTATTCTGGTTTAGAGGAAATATGCCCAGACAGTGAATTAAATTTAGCTCTAGTTTTCTACATAGCTTCTTGTAGTTCTGACGGCTGTGGCGCTGTCTTGAATCCTGTCTTCTAGTTACCACTGCCACGTTTACCCTTACCCGAACACAGCCGAGGAGCGCAGAGAGATCCAGGAGGGACTGAATACCCGGATTCAAGATCTTTACACAGTGAGTGAACCAGAAACTTACCTCCTTATCTGACGGTTTGTGAAACATTTACACATCCATTTAGTTTCTTTTTTTAATATGGAAAATTTTGGTTGTGGACAAATCAAGATGTTTTAGGGGGACTGGAATGTCACCTCCTTCCTCTTTTCATTTTAGCAGCCTGTTAGAAACATAGATGGTTTCTAAATGATAAGCCTTTAAAAAAAAAAAAAGTCTGGTTATCTTTGATCTGTTGAAGTGTAATTCTTCATCAGACATGATAAGTGAGCCCCAAGTAAAGTGCTGGCTGTAATTTTACCAGCACTGTTTTAAGTCATCTTTCTGCTTAGATGTGCACTCTGACCCATCTGAGTGAAAGAGCGTTTCTTGGCAGAATGGGATGGGATTTGGTAGCTCCTGGCGTTGACAGGAAGTGGGGTGAGGCTGAAGTGGGTAAGAACTAGGGACTTAGGTCTCTGGGCCCAGCCAGGCCATCATGCTGCCCCGGGGACCACGACATCTCACCGTTTCCTGTGCCCTGAGCTCCAGGCCTGGAGGAGAAGGACTGAACTTCCTTAACTGTCCCCAGAGAGGCCGGTGCCTGGAATCTCCCCAGAGGAGGTCCCCCTAGAGGAGGTCAGGTGCCCGGCAGATGCTCCGCTGAGATCCCATGTGTTTGTCCTCACCCAGGTGCTTCACAAAACCGAGGACTATTTAAGGCAAGTGCTGTGTAAAGCCGCCGAATCAGTCTACAGCCGCGTGATCCAGGTGAAGAAGATGAAAGCCATTTACCACATGCTGAACATGTGCAGCTTCGATGTGACCAATAAGTGCCTCATTGCGGAGGTCTGGTGTCCTGAGGCTGATTTGCACGAGCTGCGAAGGGCGCTGGAGGAGGGCTCGGTGAGGCGGCCCTCCCCTCCCCTCCCCTCTCTCCCCTCCCCTCCCCTCTCTCCCCTCCCCTCCCCTCTCTCCCCTCCCCTCCCCTCTCTCCCCTCCTCCCTTTTCTGCCCAAGGTTGGAGTGTATCTCATCAAGCTCCAGGAGATGAGATAGACAGGATAGGACACCATGTTGATGCTTTTGAACTGAAATTGCAGAGTCAGTCACTGGAAGCTCTGTGCACATGCATTCTTTTTTTCTTAATTGAAGTTTAGTTGCTTCACAGTGTTTTCCTGTGTACAGCAAAGTGATTTGCACAGGCTTTTTAAAACAAGCTTTTCATGTTATATTGGAATATAACCGATTAACAATGCCGTGATGGTTTCAGTTGGACAGCAAGGGGACTCAGCCGTACCTATACAGACATCCATTCTCCCGAAAATCCCCCTCCCGTCCAGGCTGCCACAGAACATTGAGCAGATCCCTGTGCTGTACAGTAGGTCCTTGTTGGTTATCCACTTAAATACAGCAGTTGCAGTGGCATTTTTAATTTGTTTGAGTAAGTAGTTCAGTGACATGTTTTAAAACTCAAAAAAATATTAAGAAATATTAACCAGTGAAGGGACTTCCTCTTACCCAAAGTCTTAGTTTTGTTCAGTTCCCCTGCTCAAAGACAACCCTTGTTTTAGTTTTATTATGTCTTTGAGTTTCTTAATCATAGATAAACAAATAGGAATACATTAAAGGGGAGAGTTCCCTTCCTTCACAGTAGATTGTGTGCTATTTGTACTTTCTTTTCTTTTAAGAAGACTTCCCTGTTTTTATAGCTGTTTAATATCCTGCCAGAATGGATGTTACATGGTTTATGGAACTAGTCCCTGGTCATATAGGTGCTTTCCAACTTTACAAATACTGCCAGCACAGAGACTAACTCTTGACCTTTGACAGTTCATACACACAAATTTGCCTCTGGGTAAATTCCCAGGGTGGAATTGCTGGATCAGTTTTGCCAGATACTTGCCTGATGAATGCAACCAAATGTTGCATTTCCCCTATTTTGAGTGAAGGTGAATATCTTTCATTAAAAAAAAAAAATTCATTTATTTTATTTTTGGCTGTGCTGGATCTTTGTTGCTGCTCTTGGCCTTTCCCTAGTTGCAGCGAGTGGGGGCCACTCTCTAATTGTGGTGTGTTTCTCTAGTTGCAGAGCATGGGCTTAGTTGCCCCTAGGCATGTGGGATCAAACCCAGGTCCCCTGCATTGGCAGGTGGATTCTTAACCACTGGACCACTGGGGAAGTCCTGAATCTCTGTTTAAGAGCCTTTGAATTTTCACTTTCTGGTGAGCACTCTGTTCACATGCTTTGCCCATCTTCCACTTGGGGGTTGGTCCTTTTCTTACTAGTTTCCTTGGCTCGTTGTCTGTGATACAAGAGCAGATATTCTCCCCCGTTCTGTCGCTTGTCTTACGGTGTTTCTTTCTGTTTGTTTGCTTTGGTCGTGTGGAAGTTTTTGGTTAACTATCTTGGTTGAACCCATTAATCTTAGTTCCTATGGTCTCTGAACTTTGAATGATAGGTTATTCTCACTCTAGGACTATGGGCTCAGTCTCCCATGCTGCTGTGTGAATTTTTTAATGGGGTATAAGTGTTTTATAATGTTGTGTTAGTTTCTGCTATACAAGAGTTTTTTCTGGGTCAAAACTTAAGTTCTTTACTGAAAATAACAGGTTTACATACTTCAATAGACAAACATGTTTTCTTATGAGCTTTTGCTTAATCACCTTGTTTCTTTACATAATTCTGTGATGGTACAAAAACATCAAAATAATGATGGCATAAAAATAGTTATTTTGGAGTATGGAGCATCTGTTGTATTTATCTGTTTACAGTTCTAGATGATTCTTATTTATTGAGGTAGCATCAGTTTTGAGAGACATGACCGATATGTCTAGTGCATATGTGTGTATATAAGTAGCCCCAGGGTTGCCAATATAAAACTGGAATTTAGTGGTTTGTCTGTCTAGAGTGGTCATGTATGGATGTGAGAGTTGGACTATAAAGAAGGCTGAGTGCCAAAGAATTGATGCTTTTGAACTGTTGTGTTGGAGAAGACTCTTGAGAGTCCCTTGGATTTCAAGGAGATCCAGCCAGTCCATCCTAAAGGAGATCAGTCCTGGGTGTTCATTGGAAGGACTGATGTTGAAGCTGAAACTCCAGTACTTTGGCCACCTGATGTGAAGAGCTGACTCATTTGAAAAGACCCTGATGCTGGGAAAGATGGAGGGTAGGAGGAGAAGGGGACGACAGAGGATGAGATGATTGGTTGGCATTACCGACTCAATGGACATGGGTTTGGGTGGACTCCAGGAGTTGGTGATGGACAGGGAGGCCTGGCATGCTGCGGTTCACGGGGTCTCAAAGAGTCAGACACGACTGAGGAACTGAACTGAACTCCTAAATATGTTCAAGAGAAATTTAGAGACAGCTGCAGTATTACCTAATAAAAATGAAATATAGGGAAGAATAAATCAGAATGCCACTATGGCAGCATTTTGGTTTGTTTTTGTTACACTCACCACTTCCCACCACTAGCCTTGCTAGATTCTTCTTTCTGTAAGACCACAACCCCCGGGCGTGCCCCGTCTCACCCCGCCAGGAGCTTTCCTCAGTTCCTCCTGTCACTCCTGCTATGCTTGAACTCTTGGCAGGGGGTGATCAGTACTTCCCCATGTGGCCCTGCACAGGGCCTTGTCAAGGCAGGCCACCAAGATTTGTTGAAAGAGCTCTTGGGTGGTAACTTTTCCCTTCTTTTTTTTTTTTCATGTGAAAGAGAGAGAGCGGTGGTACGATCCCCTCATTCATGAACACAATCCCAACAAAAGAAACTCCCCCGACCCTGATCCGCACCAACAAATTCACCGAGGGGTTTCAGAACATCGTGGATGCCTACGGGGTCGGGAGCTACCAAGAAGTGAACCCAGGTTGGAAGCCTGAATTTGCCAGTCTTTCTATTTTATACATTCTATACATCACTGTTGCTTTTTTCCCCCATAAGAGTGTAATAGATATTTGGAAAAATAGGCTCACTATTAACTGTTTTGTTATTTAGTATAAGCTGTTTTATTTTTGAATGTACCTGGCAGCATCATACTTCCCCCACCCGGGGTTAAACCCGTGCCCCTGCATTGGAAGCATGCAGTCTTAATCACTGGACCACCAGGGAAGTCCCTGAAGTGTTCTTTTTAACCTGTCAATTGTCTCCTGAAAATTTGGGAGAAAGTCAAGATCATTATATGGGGTCGTGTTTGCATTAACTAGAAATTTCTGCCTCTGCTGCCAATCAGAAATCTCTTGCATTTCTTGCAGCTCTCTTCACCATCATCACTTTCCCCTTTTTATTTGCTGTGATGTTTGGAGACTTTGGACATGGTTTTGTGATGTTCTTATTTGCCCTCCTGTTGGTGTTAAACGAAAATCATCCCAGACTAAATCAGTCACAAGAGGTAAAAACATAAACCCTCCAGCTCATTATCTCCAGTGAGGTAGCATTAGTAGTGATTACTTTCTGTTTGACTAGAAAAAGACATTTAAAAGTGTTTCATTTTTGACGATAACTGTAACCCACCTGACAGACCTAGGTGGGGTGGGTCTTCATTCTTGTGTGATGGGAAGTTCCGTGCCATGAACTTGATTTTTATATATATATATATATATATATTTAAAGTGTTTATTTATTTGGCTGTGCTGGATCTTAGTTGCAGCATGCGGGATCTTTAGTTGCAGCATGCAAACTCTTAGTTGCAGCATGTGGGATCTAGTTCCCTGACCAGGGATCAAACCCGGGTCCCCTGCATTGAGAGTGCAAAGTCTTAGCCACTGGACTGCCAGGGAAGTCCCCATGGGCTTGATTGTGAGCAGCCTGGAGAGGAGCAGTTAAGAATGTGCTCGGACTAACTCGATCACTTCAGCTCCTATTCCCCATGGTCCTGTCTCACTCACCACACTTCGCTCCCCACAGATCATGCGGATGTTCTTCAATGGTCGCTATATCCTCCTGCTGATGGGGCTGTTCTCCGTGTACACGGGCCTCATCTACAACGACTGCTTTTCCAAGTCAGTCAACCTCTTTGGCTCCAGGTGGAACGTGTCTGCCATGTACAGCTCCAGTCACAGCCCGGAGGAGCAGAAGAAGATGGTGCTTTGGAAGTGAGTGTCTGCCTGGCTGCCAGATGGTGACTGAGGTGGAGAGCATCACTCCGAGGCTCTCCCCATCACAGGAGGCCCTCACCCTTCTCTTGTGTTACAGTGACAGCATCGTCAGGCACCACAGCGTGTTGCAGTTGGATCCCAGTGTCCCCGGAGTGTTCCGAGGCCCTTACCCTTTTGGCATTGATCCTGTGAGTATACTCCTCCCCTTTCTATCTCGAGTTTCTCACTAGTACCACCTAATTTTCCAATGAAAAATGTTTTTAGTTTTGACCACTCCATGTGGCCTATTCCCTTAGGAGCTAAGGTCAGGGCCTTAGTTCCCTGACCAGGGATGCAGCACTGGCCCTTAGCAGTAGGACCTCAGAGTCCTGATCATTGGACCACCAGGAATTCCTCGGATCACCTGCCTTCATCTGTCACAGAGGTTTCACAGACTGTTGAGCACGGTTCAGGTGGTTTTACCCGAGGGGTTGGTTCTCGGGGGGGTTTCTGCCTGGACGACAGAGGCTCACCGTGTGTCCCGAGTCAGGCTGGTGTGCAGATGAAGCTGACAGTCCGTTTGAGAAGCCAGGATCAGCGCCCGAGTACAGGTCCACGGAGAGCTGGGGTTACTGTCTGTCCTACTTCCTGACCCCCTTTATTCTAGTGAAAAGTACTGCTGCTTCCATTTTTTCTTTGTGCACATTCATTGTTTTTTTATCTTTTGTTTTAGAAAGAAAGTGTGGAATTTTAGAATGGGAGAGGGAGCTTAAGCTTATCATGGTGCTTATTGAGGTGGTTGTTTGAAAGGGGAAAAGTGTGGGGAGAAGGAAAGAGCGGCAGTGCTCCGGGGCTGGGGCTGTCCCCACCCACCTGCCCCGCCTTGGGGCTTGGCAGGCGGCTGGCTTATGAGGCTCAGGCAGCCTCTCTCGAGACTCGGGATTCTTCTTGAGGAATCTCAGCCTGAGAAGAGTTTAGAAACTACCCCAAGGGACTTCGTTGGTGGTCCAGTGTCTCAGACTCTGCCATCCTGGTACAGGGGACCTGGGTTCAATCCCTGATCAGGGCACTAGATCTCACATGCCACAACTAAGAGTTCACATGCCACAAGTAAAGATCCTGCATACTGCAGCTAAAACTGGTCGCAGCCAAATAAATAAAGCTATGTCAAAATTGGTTTGGAGGGAGGTGATACAGTAATGAAAAAAACTCACTGACAGAAGTCTGTCATCCCCTAATCTGAGCTCTCCACGGTAAGCTCTCTCCTAATTGTTTATTCTTGTCTCTAAACATAATTTATATAATTGAATATTGTTGCCTCAAGTCTTAATATGATAGGAAACTTGAAGAAGCTTGACCACGGTTTTCTTAAGGAATAGCACTTTTATCCTAAGGCAGTTGAAGGAAGTTAAAGTTTTCTTCTGGTGTTTCGTTTTGTCTTTAGATTTGGAACTTGGCCACGAATCGTCTCACTTTTCTAAACTCTTTCAAAATGAAGATGTCTGTGATTTTAGGGATTACTCACATGACTTTCGGAGTCATTCTGGGAATATTTAACCACTTGTAAGTACAGATTTTTTTTAAACCAGTATTCATAAGCCAAGTTTTTGGTATTAATATTTCTTAAATTTTGCTTGATGATAGACTGCCTAGATCTTAAAGGCAGCCAGTATGGGGGTATGTTGTATTCATATGATCCTGTTTTGATGAGCAGTTTTTTGGCAGCTTCTTTGATTCAGCAAATATTTGTTGAGTGTATAGAATGTGCCTGGCACTGTTAGGGGTTGAACAGTGAGATCAGAAAAAAGTTTTCACCCTCATGGAGTTTTATGTTCAGGTGAGGGAGACATGCAGCATGTTCATTCACCTTTATTTCCAGAGGTGATTTTTGTCATATTCTTTTTTATTTTATAAATCAAAAACTTTTGGTTTGTTTCTTACAGATGGAATATTAGGAGTAAGAGATGATGTCTTTTTTTTTTTCTAATTGATAGGGAAATACTAGTCTTTTCTCCTGTCCTCACATCTTTTTGTGATTATATCTGGATCATAACACAGATGATGTGATTCTGAGATAGGCTTTGTCACAGAGAATTTAAGGTTAATTTACTCTTTACTTTTTATCTTAGTCCAGCTGCTTGCTGCCGCTAAGACTCTATGTAGCCAGATAAATAAATGTTAAAACATTTGTTCATGAGTTAATCAGTTCTGTTTTTTGCCATAGGCATTTCAGGAAGAAGTTCAATATTTATCTGGTTTCCATACCAGAACTGCTATTCATGCTCTGCATCTTTGGATATCTTATATTTATGATCATCTATAAGTGGCTGGTTTTTTCAGCTGAAACCTCCAGAACTGCTCCTAGCATTCTGATTGAATTTATCAGCATGTTTTTATTCCTGGCTAGTGACACAAGTGGTTTATACCCAGGGCAGGTAAACAGTCTTGTTTTTTTTCTTCCCCCATTCTTAGGAATTCAAAGGAAGTCCTCATGAGAGCCTTTTTGTTTCCATCAGTAGAATGATTAAGGTGCTTCCCAAGGCCTCCCTGGCACTGAGGGAGGCTTTCTGTTTCTCTCTGTTATCACAGGGGGGTGTCATTCGGCTGTGAGTGCTATCTCTGGGGCTCTGGTCAGACTAATCCAAACTTGCTGCCACTCCTTAGCTGTCAGAAGTGGTGGGGAAAGAATGTGTTACTGGAGGGTTTCCGAGTACTGCTCATCTATCTGTCTTGCCAGTTTTTTTCTTTTTAAATTTTATTTATTTATTTATATTTAAATAATACCACTGAGCCTCCAGGGGAAGCCCCTTTGGTTTCTTTAAAATCAATCCCTGACTCAGCCAGGCTTTCAGAGAACTGGCCCTTGGACCATGGCCCAAGGTCTTCTCCAGAACTGACTTTTCTATATAGATGCACATTTGTGTGATGCCACCCATATCAGCTATGAGTTTAGGAAACAGAAGGTGAAGACCCTCTGACAGATATGATTTAGCTTGCGTTTATTGTATGTTCATTGCTAATAGACGTTCTACCTGATTGTCACTAGTGTCAGTGTACCGGTGACCCTGTGGGTACGTCTTTGCGTCTCATCTGGCCCCTCCCCGTCTGTACCAACAGGAGCACATCCAGAGGCTGCTGCTGGCCATCACGGTGTTGTCAGTTCCCGTGCTTTTCTTGGGAAAACCACTCTTCCTGCTGTGGCTACACAAGGGGCGCAGTTGTCTCGGGGTCGGCAGGGTAAGTGTGAGTTCGGATGCACGTTTGTCGATGGTGAGCAAAGTCTGTTTTTAGCTGTGAAAAGTTTTGTAAGGAAAACACCTTCCGGGAATTCCAGCGGCTAAGACTCCATGCTTCCTCTGCGGCGGGCATTGGTTCAATCCCCAGTCGGGGAACTGAGGTCCTGCTTGCTGTGCAGTACAGCCAAAGAAAGAAAGAAATAGATTTGGAAAAAAACAAAACACCTTCCATGGGATCCAGGCTCTGATTTAAAAGCTACAGCTTCGCTCACTGAGCACTCTGGTGTTGGCTGTTCTGCAGAGGCGTGGTGTCAGGAACCTGCACATCTGGGCATGGGAAACTCCTCCCCCGTTAATGAACCCCAAACCTAGCAGGAGGCTGAACTGAAATCTTTCAGTGATGCTGGTTCTAACTGAAGTGTTTTTGTTCCTTTTTCTTGCCTCTTCATTTTTTAAGGTGCTTTTTTAATTTAAGTAACATAATTAAAGAAAATGTGGGAAATACAGAAAATAGTGCCTTGAAGTTTTCCTATATAGTTATAAACAGTGTTAACCATTTGTTGAGTTTCTTTTCAGACTGTTTTCTTGTTTGTCTAGTTTTCTCTTTTTGTTTCTTTTTTAAAAAAATTCTGGGGCTGGGGTGGGGGAAATACTGTGGTAAAATATACGTGATGTAAATTTTCCGTCTTACCCGGTTTTAGGTGCACAGTCAGTGTACATCTAAAGTACACATAGGCATTAAGTATTTCACACTGTGCATCCAACCTCCCCCCCGTCTCCAGAACTCTTCCATCTTCCTAAACTGAGACTTCATATCCATTAACACTAGCTCCCCATTTCATCTCGCCCCAGCCCTTGGCAACTACCCTTCTACTTTACGTGTGTACGAATTTGACTGCTTTAGGTATCTCATACAAGTGGAATCAGGTAACGTTCTCCTTTTATGACTGACTTATTTTATTTAGCATAATGTCCTCAAGATTCATCCATGTTGTAACCTGTGTGTGAATTTCCTTCCTGGGAATTCCCTGGCAGTCCAGCAGTTGGGACTGTGTGTGCTCACTGCCGAGACTTGCCTGGGTACAATCCCTGGTTGAGGAACTTAAGATCCTACAAGCTATGTGGTGCCAAAAAATAAAAAAGGAAGAAAAAGAATTTCCTTCCTTTTTTCCCCCCCACTTTTTGACTGCACTCCATAGTATGTGGGATCTTTGTTCCATGACTAGGGATTGAACCTGTACCCCTTGCATTGGAAGATGGAGTCTTAACTACCAGACCACCGCGGAGGTCCCTTCCTTCCTATTTAAGGCTGAATAATATTCCATTGTGTGGATAGACTACATTTTGCTTCTCAGTTCATCCATGAATGGGCACTTGGGTTGTTTTCACCTTTAAGCTGCTGTGAACAATGTTGCTCTGAACATGGGTATATAAATATCTATTGGAGTCTTCAGCCTTCAGTTCTTCGTTTGATGTTTTGGGGAGCCACTGAACTGTTCCACAGTGGCTACGCCATTTTACGTTCCCATCAGCAATGCACAAGAGTTCTTCCACACCCTAATCAACACTTACTTATTCTCTACTTTTTTTAACAACAGCCATCCTAGTAGGTATAATATGCTCATTTTCTTTTAAAGGGCTTTTTAGTCCTGAAGAGCTGAATCTTTAACAGAATTGAAGGGGTTCTGACTTTGATGTTGTCACAACCTTGTGATTTTAAAGGCACTGACTCTGTTTTCTTTGGGTTGTTTTTAGAGTGGCTACACACTTGTAAGGAAAGATAGCGAGGAGGAAATTTCTTTGCTGGGAGGCCAAGACATAGAAGAGGGGAACAACCAAATGGAAGATGGATGCAGAGAAGTGATGTATGAAGAGGTAACCTTTTCAGTTACTGTTGATGTGAGGAGCCAGATTTGCACAGAGATGATCGTCACAACAAGAGTGATAAGAATCACCTTTTTTTTAAAAATTAATTTTTACTGGAGTCTAGTTGACTTACTGTGTTAATTTCAGGTATACAGCAAAGTGAATCAGTTATACATACATGTATCAGTTCAGTTCAATCGCTCAGTCTTGTCTGACTCTTTGCGAACTCATGGACTGCAGCACACCAGGCTTCCCTGTCCATCACCAGCTCCCAGAGTTGCTCAAACTCGTGTCCATCGAGTCAGTGATGCCATCCAACCTCTCGTCCTCTGTTGTCCCCTTCTCATCCTGCCTTCAACCTTTCCTAGCATCAGGGTCTTTTCCAGTGAGTCAGCTCTTTGCATCAGGTGGCCAAAATATTGGAGTTTCAGCTTCAGCATCAGTCTTTCCAGTGAATATTCAGGACTGATTTCCTTTAGGATTGACTGGTTTGATCTCCTTGCAGTCCAAGGACTCTCAAGAGTCTTCTCAAAAACCACAGTTCAAAAGCATCAATTCTTGGGTTTATATATGTATGTGTGTGTGTGTGTGTGTGTGTGTGTATATATATATATATAAGCTTTCTTTGTATATGTCCATTTAGATTCTTTTCCCATATAGATCATCACAGAGGACTGAGTCGAGTTCCCTGTGGTATACGGGAGGTCCTTATTAGTCGTCTGTTTTGTATATAGTAGTGTGTATGTGTCAATCCCAGTATCCCAGTTTATCCCTTCCCGCACTGTCCCTTGGTAACCATACATTTGTTTTCTATATCTGTGACTCTTGTTTCTGTTCATTGATGGCAATCATCTTAAACATCAAAACTCAAAGCAAAACAACCGTTCCTCAAAGCTTTCCAAATACTATTCTCTTCATAGAATTGTCATCATAAGGATTTGGTGTTAACATTTAGTGGTTCTCAGTCTTACAATGGGATTTATAGCATTAACATCACAAGTTGTGATATTAAATGACTTAAGGTGTTGTGAACATTGCTTTCAGAAGATTCTCATCTCCATGAGAACTTCTCCGTAGTTGTAAGAAAGAGACCCTGTTCACACTGGCTTCTGGGGGAGTCTGCTGGCTCAGATCAGGACGAGGGGAGAGGGGGCCTCAGGCTGGTGAGGCTCTGCTTGGGTTTTCTTCACAAGTTTGCTTCACATTCTGAAGCCAGCTGGCCCCACGATGTTGGAACTGGAGCCACAGCGAGCACTGAGCTCATTTTCTTCAGTCTTTCAATCAGAGAAAAACATTGTTACCTGCTTGTTACCATGAGGAAGAAGCCCAAGGAAGTGCTGTGATCGGCCTGGCTGGTGGCGTCACTCGCCATCTCCAGACCAGTGACTGCTGTAGTCTGCACGGGCTGCCACAACCTCACACTCGGGGGCTTAAACTGAAGAAATTTATTTCTCATGGTTTTGGAGGCCAGATGTCCAAGGTCAGGGTGTTGGCAGAGTCGGTTTCTCCTGGGGCTGCTCTCTGTGGCTGTGTCCCCACATGTCCTTACTGCTGTGCGTGCATCTCTTGTTGTCTCTTAAGACATCAGTCCTACTGGATCAGGTCCCAACCTTATGACCTCATTTAACCCTAATTACCTCCTTAAAGGCCCCATCTCCAAACATACTCACGTTGGGGATTAGGGCTTCAATGTACTTTTGGAGGGGACATATTTTAGCTAATAATGACTGGCTATGGATCCAGGGTGAGATGGGAGAAGCAACATTTCCTCCCAAGGAAGGGAAGCACAGTCCTGGTGGACAGAACCAGCATGTCTGCTGCTATTGTCTACTTTAGTTTCTTGGAAACTTTTTTGGCTGTTCAACGAGGACTAAAAAGATTTCTTACAGTCAGCCTTTTGTAATTATTATGTAATTTAGTGCTTTAATTTGAGACAATTAATAATTAACTTTCTAAGGTCATAAAAAAACAAAAAGCAGACCTAGAAGAACATGAGAGGCATCTTGCCCAGTGTTCTGCAGTCTTTTCACTTTTAGGGACTCTTTATAATTTCTCGTTTTCAGACTCGTATTAAGATGCTCTTATCCATTAAACACATGTACATTCACAATCTTCTAATCTTGTGGTTGGTGGATGTCAGGTTTTTCATGATACATTTTATAATTACTAAGAGTAGCTCAAGAACCTCATTGGGCTGTCTGAGGGCCATGGCGGTTGTGGCATCAGAGTTCCAGTCCAGCACCCTCAGTTTACCTACGGGGTCACATCCTGGGGACAGGGGAGTGGGAGCTCCGTAGATCAAAAGCTGGGTAGTGGCAGAGCTGTGAGCAGAACTCAGGTCTCATGAGTCCCTGTCCCTCACGCTCCAGCACTCCTCAGCAGCATTCCAGAAGCCAGTCCTGTCACTGTCATGCATGTCATGTACAGAATCTAACCCAGGCTGTGTCATCTCTTGTAGTTTGATTTTGGAGAAATATTAATGACCCAAGTAATTCATTCCATCGAGTACTGTCTGGGATGCATCTCCAACACTGCTTCGTACCTGAGGCTCTGGGCACTCAGTTTGGCTCACGCACGTAAGTTTCTGCTTTGACCTGCAGTTCCCAAACTCTGGGCCAAGACACCCCTCAGCACCTCAGTTAACTCATGGGGCCATTGTGGGACACTAAAAATTTTTGATGGAAAGGACACCATCGACAATACTGTGAATGGGGACAGTTAGGTTTTTTGGACTTGACTACACTGCCCTGGGCTCCTGGGTATTTCTTTTGACTTCAGGGTGCTGTGGAAAAAAATCACTGGGACATGAGTTGTTTTGAGGACTGAGAAGGCTTAGGAACTTCTGGCATAAGCATTTTACTCCCTCTGCTCTGACCATTATTGTTTTTGTTTTTACTGTTATTTTAATTCAGCCCTGGCTCACCAAGTGTGACGGTCTAGTTATGTCAAGCAAGTCCTGAAACAATGCTGATGAATAGTTTTGATTACAGACAGTCCTCCTTTTGCATGCTCTGGTGATACATGGATTTCAGTTACCTCCATTTATTTAAGTCTCACCAGCTGCCCAAAAACACGATTGAAATTTCAGTTTCTACAATAAAATCTGAGTATATGGGTACAAAGCGCAGGCTTCACTGCTGGCCTTTTAGCCTACAAGTCACTACATAAATAATGAAAAATGCACATCATGACCAGAGACCAGTGACATCACTTTTTCAGAGCCCGTTGTGATTGGTCCCTGTGTTTTTTCATTTTCTTATGCATTTATAAACAAGAATAAGAGAATGTTTTCATGTTTTGATTAATTTTGAAAGGTCCCAGAACAACTGTCATTTTCCCCATTGGTCCCTGAACCTGCTGCTCAGTTCGTGCCCAGACAGCAAAGCACATGGTGGTGTTGCCTTCTTGTGGGCCAGTGGTAAACTTACCTGGCATTTAAAAATGGATCACTGAACTGAGGGAATTGGCCAACAAAGATGAAAAAGTGCACCAGAGAAACAAACAGTGATATGTTGGAAGTGAAATGCAAACGGAATGTAACAGGAGTTTAGGATCTGATGTGGGGGTGGTGACTGCCGCTGTGCGAGAGGTGAAACTTGCAGCCAGAGGAACCTAGTAACGTACGGAAGATGCTGGTGTCCCGGAAGTGATGCCGCAGAAGCTCTAGGAGGTATTTCAGGACTTGGAAGGCACAAAGCACGCTGTAGAAGCTGGTCCAAACTTAGAAAAGAGTAGGACAGCACGCTAAGTATTAGGGAGAATGCTTGCTCTGTGTCCAGGTGCCTGGCTCTCCCAGGTCACACGAGAAGAAGGCTGTTCAAATCACCCTTGGTAAGTTCTTCTTACCAATACCCCACAACAGTTTAATACTTAGTGTTTCTAATGTTTAAAAGATAGATTTGCTCTTTTTCTTCCATTTCCTTATGCATTTATAACCAAGAATAAGAGAGTGTTTTAATGTTTTGACAGTAATTTTCAAAGGTCCCAGAACAACTGTCATTTTCCCCATTGACCATTAAGGATGCTTTCACTGGTCACTGTTCTGCCCCTGCTCCATTGTGCAAAGACTATCTGTACTTGTGAAAATCACCAGGTGACAGAGGTGTTCTTTTGCTGGTTGGTACACTGATATTTTTATTTTTTTAGAATATTTGCTTTTGCTTTCTAGAGTTTTCTTTTGTTTTTAATATTTATTTATTCATGGCTGTGTCAGATCTTCGTTGGAGCACGTGGGATCTTAGTTCCCCTAAGCATAGCCACAAGTTGAGACTTTTCTGTTTGGAGGGGATGCTGTGGTCCACCATCTTCTATTACAGAGGAGGAGACTAAGGCCCAGTGAGGTTCGGTGCTGGCACTGGATCACCCGCCTGATCAGTTAGTGGCCGAGTCAGGACTGATGCCCAGCTTCCCACTGCCTGATCCAGGGCTGCACTGGGACTGAGCCAGCCAGACCCCCATCTGGGTCAAGATCTCTCCTTGGCAGGCAAGCAGACCTCTGATTTCTCTGGAATGTCAAGTCACCCTCCACATTTGAGACAATCAGGTTGCTCACGTAATTTTTACATGAGGAGCAGATTATATCTTTTACGGGTGTGTATTTATTTTAGGGATAACAATTCAAAATTTCTCAGAAGGAAACTCAGTCTGGCTAGCTAGTGGCAGTGACTCACTGAAGGTCTACAGAGGTTAACTCTGCAAAACGTTTCCCACGCAGAGTTGTCTGAGGTCCTGTGGGCCATGCTGATGCACGTCGGCCTCCGGGTAGACACAACCTACGGGGTCTTGGTGCTGCTCCCAGTGATTGCTCTCTTTGCAGTATTGACAATTTTCATCCTTTTGATCATGGAAGGGCTTTCTGCATTTCTTCATGCCATCCGCCTCCACTGGTGAGTTTGGAATTAAGCTTCGGAACTGTTACTTAAGACAGTAACACCCCCCCAATATATATACACATAGAACATTTCCAGTAATATGTATGTGTACATACATTATTTAGGCTAGTTCTTTCCTTCCCAGTATTGAGATCTGTATTCTGATCCTCTGAGTTAAAATTCTGTTTTGTTTCTGAGCTGTTGTCCCTGACATGTAAAAAGCAAGTTTATGCTTGATGAATAATTATGTGTGTTTAATATTTTCAACTCACGTTGGGTCTGACAGTTTACTTTATCTCACTGTAAGCCATATTTCTTAATGTTTTACATTATATATCAGATTACTTGTCTGTGTGTCCAGTTACGAGGAGAGAGAGGTTCCTAATTCTCGTGTGAATGTCCATAGAGTGGGAGGTAACATGAGGTGTCAGCATTTCCTTCATGAGAAAGCCAACAAAGGGTCAGTGTGTGCGTGTATTTTATCTCAGTAAAATGTTTGTGTCAAGAGCATATATGGAATGAAGCACATTTGGAAGTACAGAAACTTTTTTTTAACTTAGTATATGTTTTAAGAAATGTAGGAAATGTTATTCAGAATCTTTCATTAATACTTTTTTTTTTCTTTTTAGGGTAGAATTTCAGAACAAATTCTACATTGGTGCAGGCACCAAATTTGTTCCTTTCTCATTCAGATTACTTTCTTCGAAGTTCAGTGATGACCTGGCGTGATCGTATTGCAGTATCCAACAAGCTTTCAGATTTATGGAGAATTATCATGTTGTAGAATTCCTTATGTTAAATTGATGATAGGAAAAATTCCATCTTCATTAATTGCCTTATGAGATAGCCAAATCTGTAAGATATACCTCTTCCTCATATGTTAAATATTTTGTAAACTTTCTCAATTTCAGATATATAAATTTCTTTCAGTTTTTATGATGAGCAAATGTAAGTTCATGCAAAAGTTATGTTATGGTTATTTTTTAAAAATACAGGCGTGGGATAGAGAAGCTAATTTTGAATGGCGAATTGAAAATAGTCTTAGATATTTGATTCCTTTTCATTTTATTAAAAAAAAAAAAAGCCAGACTTATTCTGTCATCTGAAGTTGTCAGATAATATTTTCCAACAGCTGAAGCTAAGTAGTTTAAAAAAAATTTAATGACAGACAACAGAAAATTCACATTTATTATATTTTGCTTAATTAAAAGTATACAAACTTTTTTATTGTATGCTATCTAGAATTACAAGTAGAATTGTTTCTAAAGTTTTGTCTTGTTTTAATAATTGGAGAAAATGGGATAAAATAACATGCAACAAAATGGTTATCCCACTTGTATATTTTTTTAAAGACTTTAATCCTGTTATCCTTACATAAAACCAATTACGATAATTGTATATTTGAGAAGATAAACTGTGTACTGAGCCTTAAAATCCAGTGTGACTTTAGAAGACATAATATGGATATGATCTGAATTCAGTTGGCTGATGTTCCTGAACAAAAAAGGGTTTATACTGAATGAATAAGGAAAGGTAAAAAGTAGATTTTGTATATTTTTATAATAAAATATAAATTAAGATTTTTACTATGAAGAGGTCACACCTATCCAGAACAGTATAATTATAAATGTTCCACTTTCAGACTAATTCTAAATAAATGTCTGATAAAGACACTTAGAGTTAAACTTTTAAAAGCTACTAAGATCAGTTGAAAACCAATTCTTACTAAGCCATTAATGTATAATCTTCAGTTTAAATTCATCTTTTCTCTTGACATTTGAGTCAGTCCAGTTGAACATTTTTATCTGTCCTGTGTTCTTATAAGTTATGTTCATTTTTCATATTTTACTGTAATGGGTTTTAGATATTTATTTTCAAAAAGAAACCTGCAGTGTTTTCCCTTTCTTAACATTTTGAGTAATTCACATGAAGAGACCTGCTTGTCTCCTTCACCCTGGCTGGTAGGAGAGAGTTTGGGACTTTCATTACAAGCTAAGATCATGGTGGCCCTGAATTTAAGTGTATCTTTTCAGGTGATTTCAAGGCCTGTTTGCTGAGGGGCATGAAGTGAACATCATGACATAACTGTGACTCTAACATTAAACTTTTTAAATTGTAGTCAAGATTCCATGCTACTCCTCCATGAGATATTGTCCCTCATCTTAAAATATGATACAAAGTGATGCTGATGAAACTTGAAAATGATTCTGCTCTCAATGTTAAATTTCCGCAGAAAGATAAAAGGTTAGACACTTCTGTTGGGTGAATACAAAATGTGTTTAATGCCTTGCAGGCTCAGACTTGTCCCTCACCACTTTACCTTTATCAGGGCATAGAACAGAGTGAAGAGTCACTTTTCAGTTGAAACCTATGTAGTAGCTCTGTAGAATGTAACGGTATTATTAAACACAAATTGTTAGTTCTAATTTTTGTGAAAGAACTCTCAAGAATTAGAGTTTGATGACATCTTGCAGGCTTCAGGGTAAATTTTCTTTCTTTATATAGTTACTGGTTCTAATGTCATGTTACCAGAGCTGTTGCTCTGTTTTGTTTGCAAGTGATTTGGTAGAAGTATTATGTATACGGTTGTTAAGATGTAACTTCGTTCCTGTGATAGCAAACTTCCAGAGGAAAAACAGTCAATTGTCTGGATGATGCCAAGTATCTGTTTATTTCACCAACTCGAAATGTCACTACTGCCACATTCTCCACTTTCCATTCAGCTGTTCATTCTAAAATAAAAATCCAGGGGATTTATTCAGTAAAATAGAGGTTGATTTTGCCCTGCAAGGATGAAGAGGGTCCTTGTAGTGGTATAGTCATGCTGAATCAAGGAGTGCAAAGAGGGTTTGTTGGAGGTCATGGGTAGGACTTTGAGGGGAGTCACCTTTCACTGAAAGCTCCTTGGTCCTCATTACGGAATGAGTATTTTACAACAACACTCTGAACTCAGTTTTCATTCTGCAGTAGTTTAATAAGGCATAGATTGTGTATAGCATTAGGTAACTTTTATGTTTACAAATTAAAAATTCAGACACTTTAGGGCCTGATTCATTTTGGAAGAGAAATAACAACATCAACTGTTCCTCAGCCTGCATTTACAAACAACCTTATTAAATTTAAAGCCAGGTTTGCGTGCATGCCATCTGGTGTATCTTCAGCAAGAAATCTTAGTTCAAGATGATGAAAATAAGACAGTTTGGAGTGATAATTTTTCAACACCCAGGCTGAACTTTGGTTTAGAATTTTAATACTTAGAACATTCCACCTGTTCCTTGATGGGAAAATCCAGTAAGAAGGCTAGATTCAGCCCAATTCTGAATCTAGGGGCTCAATTCTGTGAGGGGAAAGGACTGAACAAGTTAAAAGGTCCACAAATGCATGAAAGGACAAATTTGCATCTCCCTATCAGTATTCAACTTCCCTTTACTAATGAAAAATAAATATATTTTTGAGATGGCGGGTGTTTTGCTTTATTATGCTTTGGCTTGGCTATAAAGCGTTTGATTCTGTAGCCAGTTTCCCTTCTTGGGGCTCCCCCATCCCTGACCCTGGTACACCAGAAGGAACTTGCCCCTTCTTGGAAGTCTTCGCTATGTATTTGCTCTTCTGACGCCCATTGGACTAGAGTGACCGAGGGCTCAGACTGAAGTCCTTTTGCCTCGCGTCCAGTTTTCACTCCGAGATGCCGAGGCCAAATGTCTGTCACCTGTTTTGCCCGTTTTCTTGACAGTGCGGGCGGGACGTTCCCAGACAGGCTGGCGGTGGAAAAGCAGGACGCCTTGCCCATCCAGCACCTACAAGGCTCCTGGCGCACTTACAGGCCTGCAGACCCTCGGCGGCTGAGACTGGCCCTGGCCCGAGTCTTTCAATCCCCTAGCATAAAGCCGCCCTGCTCACCTCGGTCCTCCCATAAGGAAGAGGGCCCCCATCCGGGAGAAGAGCCCCGACCACCCTCCGCGCGCAGGCTGGGACGCCCCGACCCTTCCCCAGGGGCTCCGCGCCACCCTCCCGAGTCTTGGTTCGCGCTTCTGTGAGCTCTGGGCCCCGGTGCTGGCGCGCGCAGGGACTGCGGGGCCCGGGGCTGTGCGTCCCCGCGCCAGCGGCGGCCGTTGCCGGGGCGCCCGTTGCTAAGGGCGCCGTTGCCACGGACGCCCGCCCGGCGCCCAGCTAGCTGAGCGCTGAGCTGTGGTCAGTCCTGCCCGGCCATGGACGACTTGCGAGTGCTGTGGATGCGCGACCGCGTGTACAACGCTTTTGGCATCACAGACCCTCAGCTCTTCGAGGAGCTGCTAAACCGCAACGACGGCGAGGCCGAGGAACTCATCCTGCACTTCCTCAACCAGACCAGCGACGAGGAGGGCGCCTCGACTCTCTTCTTCTACCGCAAGGTGGTGCCCGAGGAGTTGGAGGTGGAGATCGGTGAGCCCCTCGGCCGCCTTCCCGCCGTGCCCCCTTCGGCCCTGTTGGTTCCCACCACTCCGGCGAGGAAGGCAGATCCCCGCCCGCCCGCCACTCTTGGCCTCCCGGGCCGTCCGCAAATGCTTATTGCCGCCCACCCTGTCCGGGCACAGTCAAGGCAGTAGGTGAGCCTGACAAGTGTAATCATGGCAAACACTTATCGCTGCATCAGTATCAGGTACATTTCCTAACATATGCGTGCGTGCTAAGTCGCTTCAGTCGTGCCCAGACTCTTTGCAACCCCATAAACTGTAGCCCGCCAGGCTCCTCTGTCCATGGGCTTCTCCAGGCAAGAATACCGGAGTGGGTTGCCAGTGCCCTCCTCCAGGAGATCTTCCCGACCCAGGGATTGCACCCGCGTGTCTTGTGTCTCCTGCATCGGCAGGAGCGTTCTTTTCTTTCTTTTTTATTTATTTATTTATTTATTTTTCCATTTATTTTTATTAGTTGGAGGCTAATTACTTTACAACATTGCAGTGGTTTTTGTCATATACTGAAATGAATTAGCCATGGATTTACATGTATTCCCCATCCCGGTCCCCCCTCCCACCTCCCTCTCCACCCGATTCCTCTGGGTCTTCCCAGTGCACCAGGCCCGAGCACTTGTCTCATGCATCCAACCTGGGCTGGTGATCTGTTTCACCCTAGATAATATACATGTTTCGATGCTGTTCTCTTGAAACATCCCACCCTCGCCTTCTCCCACAGAGTCCACAAGTCTGTTCTATACATCTGTGTCTCTTTTTCTGTTTTGCATATAGGGTTATCGTTACCATCTTTCTAAATTCCCTATATATGTGTTAGTATACTGTAATGGTCTTTATCTTTCTGGCTTACTTCGCTCTGTATAATGGGCTCCAGTTTCATCCATCTCATTAGAACTGATTCAAATGAATTCTTTTTAATGGCTGAGTAATATTCCATGGTGTATATGTACCTACAAAAATAAACTCAAAATGGATTAAAGATCTAAATGTAAGACCAGAAACTATAAAACTCCTAGAGGAGAACATAGGCAAAACACTCTCCGACATAAATCACAGCAGGATCCTCTATGACCCACATCCCAGAATTTTAGAAACAAAAGCAAAAATAAACAAATGGGACCTAATGAAACTTAAAAGCTTTTGCACAACAAAGGAAACTATAAGCAAGGTGAAAAGACAGCCCTCAGATTGGGAGAAGATAATAGCAAACGAAGCAACAGACAAAGGATTAATCTCAAAAATATACAAGCAACTCCTCCAGCTCAACTCCAGAAAAATAAA